GCTGTAGTAGCAGAAGATCCACTTGTTGTACTCCCGGAGGTTACAGAAGATTTTGTTTTTCAGCCTGAGCAAGACTCGGACAATGAAATCATCTGGTAGAAAAAGTGTCTGTTTTAGTCTATGTTTACTAGTTTTCTTTTATATGGGTTTTTCGGTTTCTATGCTTTTCTTGAATAAATTATGACTGTGTTTCCGCCTATTTGATTGCTCCAAGCACTCTGAGGATGGGTTTAAGACCCGAAACAGCTGGTCTGTCAGTGCTCTACCAAAGTTATATTTGCTACAAGACACTTCCAAACCGCTACCAAAAAATTACCACACATCATACCTGCTATATTATCGCTTGGGAATAGAACCAAAGGATCTTTTTGATCTTAGTAGTGCCCGAAGCTATTAGCTATGTTGAAAAGACAAAGAGAAACAAGTCCAGAATCCGCTGTTAAGCAAAGAAAGTTGGAACAGAGGCTTCCTTCTTTACCAGTACATGGAAAAAGACCTATACTGAAGGCAGGACTGTCATGGACGGTCAAAGGAAAGGATGAAGGCGCCCAAGGGTCTTTCCTGTTTGACACCGGTTGTACAGGAGCTATCCTCAACCAGAGTTTTGTCAGAAAACATGGAATTCCCTTAGTGAGGCGGGATCAACCTCTGACAATGCTTGATGCTCAAGGAGATATCATGATGGGAGGAGGCGAGTATTACACTCACCCGGTCCGCATGACTATGGGAGATCATAAGGAGACACTCCGATGGGAGGTGGCTACACTGGAAGAAGGAATGACCGGTTACCTGCCAATTAGTTGGGCTAGGAAGCATAACCCGGACATCAACTGGGAACTCAACACCATGAGCTGGAGGAGTGACTACTGCAAGCAGAATTGTCTCCCAGCGGCCACCAAGATTGAACTGATCTCTCCGTACCAAATGTTGGAAGAAGAAGAGACAGTCTATCAATTGGTTGGTTCAGTATGGCATGATGAGGACGGAGGTGATATTGCTGAGAAAATACACCACCTATACCGAGATTGGGCTGATGTGTTCAGTCAAGAGAAGATTGAGGAAATGCCACCGCATTCTCATAATGATTTGAAGATCAAACTCTTGCCTGGCACCGCTCCCCCATTTGGCCCGCTGTACCCATGTTCCGCTCCAGAATTGAAGGCCCTCCGAGAGTACCTGGACAAAGAATTGTCTTCAGGAAAGATCTCTAGATCTAACAGCCCTGCTGCGGCACCCATATTGTTCATTCCTAAGAAGGATGGTACATTGCGGATTTGTGTGGATTACAGAGGTTTGAACAAGGTCACTGTCAAGGACAAGTACCCGCTGCCTATCATGAGTGAGCTCAGAGACAGGTTGTTCAAAGCCAAGATCTTCACAAAGATAGACCTGAAGAACGGCTTCAATTTGGTCAGGATAGCAGAAGGTGATGAGTGGAAAACCGCTTTCAGAACCCGCTATGGACTGTATCAGTATAATGTGATGCCATTTGGTCTATGCAATGCTCCCTCCGCTTTCCAGGCAATGATCAATGATGTGCTAAAGGAACTACTAGATGAAGGAGTAGTTGTCTATATTGATGACATCCTCATCTACTCGGAGACTGAGAAAGAACATGAGCTATTGGTCAAGAAGGTGCTGCAGAAGCTTAGGGAAGCTAAGCTCTGTGCCTCGATCAATAAGACATCCTTCCATGTCCGAGAAGTAGAATACCTAGGCTATCATATCTCGGAAGAAGGAGTATCAATGTCAGAAGACAAGGTGGAGGCAGTTAAGGAATGGCCGGTCCCTGAAAATATCAAGGCAGTACAGGCATTCCTCGGATTTGCAAACTTCTATCGCCGTTTTATTGAAGGCTTCAGTAAAGTTTGCAAACCATTAACTGACCTCCTGCAAAAAGACAAGAAATGGTATTGGACGGCAGCACATGAGCAGGCCTTTGAAGAACTCAAGAGGCTGTTCACAAGCGCTCCAATCCTTCTTCATTTTGACCCTAGTAGGAGAACGGTGGTCGAGACAGATGCCAGTGATTTTGCCAAGGGAGCGGTGCTCTCTCAGTATGGGGATGATGGGAAGCTACATCCGGTGGCATTCTATTCTAAGAAGTTCTCCCCTGCTGAGATCAACTATGACATTCATGATAAGGAAATGGGAGCTATTGTAGCCTCTTTCCGAGAATGGGAACACATGCTCAAGTCTTGTGAGCAAGAGATCACGGTTTTTACAGACCACAAGAACTTGGAGTACTTTAATTCTACCAAGGTTCTCACTAGGCGGCAAGCTAGATGGTCTGAAGACCTCGCAGGCTACAATTTTAAAGTTGTCTACAGACCGGGAGAAAAGAATGGCAAGACTGATGTGCTATCTAGGCGCTGGGATCACCGCCTTGGAGAGGGAGGTGAAGCTCTGCAGCCGGAGCCACAGATCTTTTTTAGGCCAGGTCAATTGGTTTTGGATCCTGCAAAGCTAGCGGCTGTCAGGGTGAATCAATTGCAGAATACATTCTTAGAGCGCCTATACACGGCTGCTAAAGAGGATAGTTTCTGGCAGGAATTGCACCGCTCCCTGGTTGAAAGGAAACCAAATTTGGACCAGAACTTGTCGGTCAAGAACGGTCTTATCTTCTACAAGAATAGATGGTATATACCCAAAGACAAGAAGCTTCAGATGGAAATACTGTCCGATACCCATGACTCTAAGGTGGCTGGTCACTTTGGCCAATTTAAGACACTTGAGCGGGTGAAAAACAACTTCTTTTGGCCCAACATGGATAAGGATGTTGAGGAATATGTCCGGAGCTGTGACAGCTGCCAGAGGAATAAGACCTCAAGACACAAGAAGTTTGGTATGCTCCAACCGTTGGAGATACCCTATCGGCCATGGACTTCCATCTCTATGGACTTCATTGTGGGACTACCGGAATCTAGTGGGTTTACAAAGATCTGGGTAATAGTGGACCGCTTTTCGAAGATGGCACACTACATCCCTCTTCCTACCCTCAATAAAACGGAAGATTTGGCTAAATTGTTCTTGAAGGAAGTTTGGAGACTCCATGGTTTACCTGATGACATAGTCTCGGACAGAGATAGCAGGTTCATCTCTCACTTTTGGCAATCTCTCATGAACCTCCTCAATGTGAAGCTGAAGATGTCCACATCTTTCCACCCCCAAACGGACGGTCAAACAGAAAGAGTTAATCAGACCCTGGAACATTACTTGCGGAGTTATTGTTCATATCAACAGGATGACTGGGCAGAACTCTTGCCTTTGGCAGAGTATGCTTATAACTCGGCGGTCTCTGAGTCTACCAAAGTATCGGCTTTTTATGCCAACTATGGATATGAACCCAGGACCAACTGGCCGGCCCCAAAGGAAGGAGTAGAATGGAACAATCCAGCAAGTGAGGTCATGATTTCTCAATGGGAATCTACCTGGCAAGGTATGAACGCCAGCTTGGGTAAAGCTAGATTAAGGATGGCCCGGTGGTATGATGCTCATGCCCTGGCACCGCCTGAAATCAAGCCCGGAGATGAAGTTATGTTGGACCGGCGCAATGTGCAAACAAAGCGGCCTTTGGGAAAACTGGATCAGAAGAAGATGGGACCTTTTAAGGTCTTAGAAGCTATTGGTACCCGTGCCTACAAGCTCTCTCTTCCCCCCCAAATGGGAATCCACCCGGTCTTTCATGTCTCTCTTCTGGAACCTTACCGAGCACCGGTAGATCCTGAGAGAAGAGTTCCTGTACCGGAGCCAGAAGAGATTGAAGGAGAACAGAACTGGGTTGTCCGAGAAGTAGCTGACAGCCGGGTCAATAAGAAAAGGAGACGAGTGGAATACCTAGTGCTGTGGGAAGGTTATGAAAACGAGGATGCTACATGGGAACCTTGGGAGCATCTCAAGAAGAGTGCTGAAGAAGCCCTTCGGGATTTCCATATGAGGTATCCTAAGAAACCCAAGGACAAGCGGATTGTTGGGGTGTAGATTTTTCCTTAGGTTTTGTTCCTTGCATATCACGGAGTTTCTTGTCATATAGATTGTACGGTAATAGAATGGTTATAGATCTCGGAGACCAAGATCCTGGAAGAGGGGAGTGGTGTAACGGAGCCATTTCAACTGTCTGGTGTATGAGTACACACAGGGCCCGGTTACATGCTGAGAGTTATTGTTAGAAGCCAGTTGCACGGTGATATGCAAGTACCGGCAGTGTGGTTAGCTACCAGCTGTCAGAGTAACTACATTCCGGGCGCTAGGAAGAGGATCTATTCATGGGAGCAAGGACTGACGAGTCTATGCCTCGCCAGTGACTAGAAGACCGGCCAGAGTGAAGCTCTGATTGCCCGGTGATCCTCTGTATCCTCTGAGCATTGTAAGTCCGCCGAAAGGCAGGGACTATGCTAGGGAAGTCTACAATAAATGAAAGCTCTACAGCAATGATTAAGCTGACACCTGAGCGGTAGCTCATTCATGCAGGTCCTCGGTTGTGTGGTAACCAAGGCTGCAGGTGTTACAAAGGCTTTGACTAAGGGTGGTTGCCTTGGGTATCGGAAACTCCTGCTGACGCTTAGAGAAAAGCGGGGTAGCGGTGGTATTGTTTCCGGTACTGAGGGAGGGCCCACCGGAACTTAGTAAAGGAGTTAGGAGCAGAGAATAGAGGCCTTCGGAGTATAAGTACTCAGGTTCATTCTCGCCCTTCAGTCCTATTCTCTCGAGTCTTCATCAGAAAGAAAAAACAAAGTTCTTATCGGTAGCAGAGCCCTTAAAGATTATTGAGTTCTAGCGATAGTATCTTTGAATAAATCTGCAACCTGATTGTCTATCTTGCACGGCCGTCTCTATTCTATACAAATCTATTTCTCTTAGAAAGGACCCCCGTTACAGCTTCAGACCTAGATGACAGAAAATCGTTCTCAGGATACGTGTTCAGACTAGGGAAGTCAGCCATCAGCTGGAGAAGCCGGAAGCAGAAATCAGTCGCAGTCTCAACAACAGAAGCCGAATACATGGCCCTGTCTCTCGCAGCTCGACAACTGGTATGGATTCGTAATGCCTTGCTCGAACTCCAACAACAATACCAGTACTTCATCCACGCCGACAACACAGGTTCTATCGAACTCTGTCGGAACCCACGCATCCACGACCGGTCCAAGCACATCGACGTTCACTACCACTACACACGTGAACAACTCGAAGCCGGAACCTTCGAAATCCTCTACGTCCCTACCGAAGACAATGTCGCGGACATAATGACCAAAGGACTACCAAAACCAGCTCACCAAAAATTGTCAGAATTGATACGATGTGGCAAGTGAGGGGAAGTGTAAAAATATGGCATTGCGACATCGGTTATGTATGGTAATTACTCATGTATAAGGGATGACTCATAGTTGGAATAAGGAGGCTTAGCGCTAGGATTATGTAATCAGGGGATCACGTGGTACTAAGAACTATCTGTATATAAGGAGTAAGAAACTCCCATAGTTGTCGCTGGAACTCAGCGGCGCAATAGTATCTTCTTTGCACTATAAACATATTCCTCACAAAGGTCACGTGTTCAAACCCTCCTCAAGTCGTCTATTCTCCCACACTCCAATTCACAGTATTATCTTGTAAATCTCACGCCCACCATGCATTGGTTGGATCTATAGAAGCTTCAACTCACTGTAAAGCACTGTGCACCCGTTAGTTTTGGCGCCGTACATATAACATTTGCAAGATGTTAAGAATTAATTTGATAGTGGTACATTCAAGTTTAGAAGCTTCTAATATATGGGTTATACGTTAACAAAAAGGCTTTCAATTTATCACTTACATATATGACCATACAGAGTATCGACGATCTTTCAGTATACGCATTAGGAGTTTTCAAGGTCTGATGCCACGAAGGGAGACAAGGTTTAGGCTTAAATTATAAACTTGCGTCTCAAACCCGGGCCCGAGAACTTCAAGATCTATATCATACACATGAGGCGAGTCAACTTAGATGAAAGATGGCCTTATACATGCCTCATAATACGTACATGTAGCCCAGGATTGCGTGGCCTAAGACGGGAAGATTTGAGTATCTGAAGTTACTGCGTACTTAAAAAAGTGATTAACAACATCATGTATGTGCATGTAGTACTTATATACGTATATCTAGAACCTAGAGTGCTACCTTTCGCAATTATTTAAGTGAGATACATACGCGTCCTATACCCAGATATACTTCTTTTTGACTTTTGTTCTCTTCATCCTTCTCTTAATACTTCTTCTTATCCCTCTTCTCATCTCTCTTCTCATCCCTCTTCTCCTTCTACTTCTCCTCCATCTTCTCTATCTCTTCATCGGCCCGTCTTCCTCCATTCCTGTACTCTTTACTACGCATAGCATTTCCTTGATACAGGATACTTCCTTAAATCTCAGTATATCTACTGCCTCTTTAACATTCAATTTAAAAGTCAAGCTCAGCTCTAAATCTCTCTACCTTCATTTCTCCAATAGCTTTTGTGCTCATTATGATGCCCGAAAGCTTGGTGTCTCCAACTACCCCAACAAAAGGGAGATGTCATACAAATCCGCATCCATCTCCTGCTGCTTGTCCATCAGTTGCAAGTAGCTCTGGGAATACCATCAATGATGTATCCCAGCCAACCACCCCAACTGATGTGAAAACTAGTCCTCCGAGTAAGATACCCTATCCTGCTTAGTTTGAAGTAATTATATATACAAGTTCTAGAGAAATTAAAACAAATAGTTTTGATTGTTACCATTTGTATTTTTGTATAAACCCATGTAGCGGTTTACTTAGATTTATGCCCTGAAAATTGTCAAGTGGATGAGACGTTCTAACAATGTCACTAAAATTAACAGGAAACTTCAACAGACCCCGGGGGAAAACTCTCTCTTCGCTTGATATTTTCTCAATCGCCCAAGACATTTCAGGTCCAACAAGGCTTCAAGGAAGGCTCTTGGAAGCTTTTAACGACCACAAAGCTCAACAGACTGAAATCCTTGCATCAGAGTTGCAATCAAGATGCAATATTGCCGAGGACGGCTCTAATGACTCTGGCCTAATTTCCATCAACCATTATGATTTCAGCTCCCAGGAAACTGATAGGGTTTCTGTTGATGAGGTTTCAGAAGAAGCCACGGATTCAACGGGAGATAGCCAAAATGATTTTGTTTCCGACGAGGACGTGAAAGACCTTGCGAGGCATGGACTACCATCTGCTTGTATTTTTGTAGCTAAGTATGTTCCTCTTTGTATGCCGCTAATATATTGGCAAACTAAATTATTTAACTTTGGGCAGTCTCGCAGCTACTCAGACCGACGATCAACTCATGAAGAGCTTGCAGTCCCACTTTGGAAAATTTGGAAGACTCCACGTCAAAATTCGTAGGGATACCAAAAGCAATCCATATAGCTTTTGCCAATTCGAGGTATGAGCTGCATACAATAGCCTATTCATTTTGTTAGTATTTCTGCTGATAAAAAACGAAGTGCGACGAGACTGCAAGATTAGCTCTTCGTGATGGTAGAAATGCTATAATCGACTCCACTGGTCGTCGTATCCGTTGTGAACCGGCAAAGGTTAACAGGACTCTCGTTTTAAGCAAAATGGATTGTAATGTTTTCAATGAAAATGATGCCCGCAAGATTCTTTTTGGATTTGGTGAAACCGAAACTATGGAATTTGCGAGGGATGGGGATACACTACCTGTGCGAGGAACAAAGGAAGGGAGAAGATGTTTTGTTAGGTTTGCTTACAGACAAGATGCTGTGGATTGCTATCAGGTTTGCCTCCTCTTTTAACACTTACATTAACATATCATCGCTATAAACTTGTACTCATATAAGATTCATTGAAACTTTTAGTATTTCCGTCATCACTGCGCATGGACTGCTGATTGGACGAGCAACTTTTCGGTGCCGAATGTCATTCCACGCATCCAGACCGTTGAGATTGATCCTGTTTCCATATTTATTGGAAAACTTAATCCGGATTCAATTGGGGAGAATGAGCTCAGAGCAAGATTCAGCAGATATGGCATGATTGTTGAATGCAATCTTGTGAACAGGGCCAGCAAAAACGGTGACAGAATCCTAAGCAGTTGGTAAATGATCATAATGCTAATATTACTATTCAGGGATTGGACGTAATGCCTTCGCATTTGTAAAATACGAAGCTGAAGAGATGGCCAATAGAGCTTTGGAAGAAGAGGTAAGTCTTGTTATATCTATTCATATAGCTCAGCCTTTTTAGACAACGATTTATACTAAAAAGTGATACGCTAGAACAATTCCCTATTCCTTGGAAAGCACATCCATGTTCAAAAACGCGAAATTCACAAAAAACCAATTCGCATGGCCCCTAATGGCCCCCGCCTTGGCGGTCCTGTGACAAATAATCAATTATCTCATATGGACCAAGTTAGACGATTTGGTGTCCCACAATCATTTCCATTCTCTATGGAAGCGGTTGCCGACCTTGCTGCACGCCTTAGTGTTCAACTCGCAGAACAACGTGATCATAGCCGCCGTCCGTCGGGAGCTTCAATGTTTTCTAACCAGTCTGTTATTAGTCAAATGCCATATGTGGTATGATCCAATTAAACGCTTTCTAGAAACCTCACTCTTTACTAACGAATATTTGCAGTACTCTAATGACCAAATGGTTAATAGGCATGGTGGATTTCAGGGGAATATTCCTGGTTTGGCATTTCACCAGCCCTTCCAACATGGGTATTCAGGATTTCATAATGGAGCAAGCCATCAGCCCATTACTCAAGAGACTCCTATTTCTCCACGGACTGTGCAGGCCACAACTCATACTCCTCAAGACCCGCCAGTTTTTCGCCAACAGGTAGATGATGCTTACTCGGGCGCATTTCCTCCGGCAATTGTGCCTCATCTTCATCAATTTCAACAGACTCAAAATCTGGTACCTCATCTTGCAATGATGGATAATAGCCATCATAGGGAGAGCGTTATCTCTATGTTGCCATATGATCCAACCAACTGTTATGGACAATACGGAAACGGTTACACAGCCCAGGCGGGATATCACATGCAGCCTAATCATCATCATGGCGGACCCTAGGGACGAAATTCAAAAGCGATAAGTACGCCATGCCAAGGACTAGCTAGCAACCAGGGAGGCTTCGGGCTACCTTGGCCAAGTATTATTTGATAAGTTGTGATTTGTTTTTCTTTTCCGGGTGGATTTTCAAAGAAAATATTGACGATTGTATTTGTTGACTTGACGACGCTGGAAGCGTGCAATCAGCAAAATGTGTTTGGTGGTAGGGCTTTGCGTAGTGTGCAAAGTATTCAATGTTTTTAGAACTCTTTTTCCTGAAGATCTTGTTGCAGGGTGGTGCTATGCAATGATTTCGAAGGGATCTTGCGGTTGGCGAGTTAGGACTTGGTTTTCTTTAGTTGATATACTCACTCATTCGGGCTTAAATTTCTTTGCTACGTAAATTTGTTTCTTTACTGTCACTGAGTTGCAGATATTTCGGACTTTCGTTCTCTTTAAAACGGTTTCAGATGATTGCTAGGACGCATGGAATACTAGATCTATAGAGATAAGACTAGATTCTATATGCAAAATAAATGAGAGATTTCATGCAGCTCTTGCCACGCATAAGCTGTTTGTGACTTGAATATAATTGGGCTTGTGCTCGCTAAATACGATCATGTACGAATAAACCGAGTGATATTACATGACTTAGCCATATTGTAATTCATTAATTGCATGCAATCTTATAGTTATGGCAATATCTCACTAAGCCCCTGAACTTCCCGTCTGCCTCCGCCACCTCTCGTAAAATCCAAATTTCAAGTAAAAAGAAAAGAAAATAAAAACAAAGGGAAGGTTAAACACTATCTCTAAGTCCTCCCCATCCATATCCCATTTCTCTCCTTTCCTCTTCTTCGTCCTCATCTCTCCCCTATTGTCTCATGCTCGCCCTAGGATTGACGCTAAGTAGGAATCTGGCTAGCTTTTACGTATTGTACATGGCTTAGGGAACATTCTAGTACCCTTCTTTTTGAAATGTAATATGTAAACTTACATGTAATTACAGAAAGCAGGTTCTTTTCTCTCTCTCTTTTTTTTTACTTGAATTCGTAGAGGATATTATATACATATTACTTAGTAGTGAGGAGCGGCCTCCGGCCGCATATAAAGTTAAACATCAGTTCGAGGAATACGCCACTCAGCAAAAGGGTTCGTGGTTTAGTTTTAATGTCAGTGCGCAGTGTGGCGCACCCGTAATGTTGTAATTAAAGTTGAGATTCAAAACAACGAAAAATATATAATATAGTTCGGGACTATATATAAAAAAAGATAGGTCATTGATCTTATTCTTCATTGATTCCTGGCACCATTGATCACTGGGAAAGTCTTCTCTTGGTTTTTTTTTTGATGGTCCGCCACGGTTACCTATGGAGAAATGACTCACTCCGAAATCGGAATCACGAACACTTTTGCAGAGTGGCTGTATATAAAGTTCAAGAAAACTCACAGCTCTGTTTAGTGGTTCGAATTGAAAATACAGCTCTGTGCAATAATGGTTCGAAATAAATATCAATATATTCCTCGCACGCAGTCAGGGCCACCTGCCGCTGTGCGGTATGCTGGGCCCCTCCTTGCTCGCTGAAGTGTTAGTTTCGGAAGAGCTTGAGAAGTACTATTGATGGATCCGGAAAGTATGGAGGTTTATAACATTAATGGTCAGAGGGGTTATTATATATCATGACAGAACTCGTGGTTTGATGATTTGGAAAAACATGCATGTCGTCTCCCTTAATGCACTCGATTCCGGATCCTGGTGGAATCAGTTCTTTGTCTATCGATAGCTGTAGCCCACCGGTGTTTATAGACAGCTGTAGCCTAATGGACTATAGCGATGGGAGGTAACTAACCAGTCAATAAAAACCTTTCGTGATGACAGAGATACCTGACTATTCTATTTATACATATATTTACTATTTAGATGAGCTTGGATGCGATATAAATAGTAGCACTCGTTAAAAATATTACCAAAACTTTAAGTCTGTATTCCCCAAAATTAAAAACATCTATCATGATCAACTGGACAATATAGTTTCCACCATCCATCCATGTGAAGGGCGTGTCGTCTTGATACAGCAAGAATTTGGTATCTTGGTGGTTTTTGGGCTTTCAGTAGCTTCCTGCCAGGTAAGTTTAAAGAGATCGAGTGCTGAATTTTGGTATGATTTTGGTGCTTGTGCTTTAACTTTCTCAAAAGCTATAGCCGAGCCCGCGTCACCCTGAAATGATTCTTTTTGATCATTTCCGCACAAAAATCTGAGCAAGAAATGTTGATATCTGATTTCCGAATTTACAAAGAAAGCCGAATCTAACGCCCTTTGCCAATCCCTTTCCACATCTAAACTAGTCTTTCTTCAATTCTGTCATCTCTTCGAAGACGCCATCCTTCGTGACTGTGATGATCTGGAGACCATCACCGACCTCAATGTGACGTTCGGTAGCGGAGGTGAATGCATCTTTGACGAGCTTGATAACAGTTTCCTTGGGAAGGTCTTCAACGGGCCTTTCTTGGGTACCGTTAGAGGCAGGGATGTATTGATTTTTGAATTCAACCTTTAGTGGAATGTTAGTCAAATTAAATCCCGCAAACCATCAGTGATATTACCTGGTTGTCTAGGAAAGGGACGATTAGCGATGAGGCAGCGCCAGCAGCTGCTCTTCGTTCACCTTCTTTTGAATAGGAACCGACGGGATCGTAGGAATAGAGGCGACCCTTGCCTAACACAACCTGTCAAACCAATATTCACGAAAACCCGAAGCTCGGAGAAGTACCATCTTTATCCAGTCCGGCAAGGATACAATGTGTGTATTTGGGGAAGAATCTGTTTCCATATAGAACAGTAAATAGATACTGTGCAGCCGCATTTACAGTCATGTTTTTCAGGTTGTGATTGAATTTAAAATCCTGCGAAAAGTAGTTTCGACATCATTATTAGACATTTTCCTACCGGGAGATAAGAGTAGAGTGCACTAACATTAACAGCCCTTGTCATTGTCTCTGCAACGTCCTTTGAATCCGCGCCAAATCCAACTGTAGCCAAGATGAGGTTGTTGTCCTCGCCTAGTCTGTATACCTTTCGCTCAGTTCGAGAGTTAATGTTGTAGCCGGAAGTGTGTCTGGTATCGCCGGCTAGCACGACGAAGTCATCACCGGTAATTCCAAGAATAGTTCCACCATTGTCAGTGTAGCTGCAGCAAGTAAATATTAGCTAGATGAAATACGATACTAAGGGTAATATTCAAAGATAGAACTCTATGCGGGAGCTCACGGGTTGAACGAGTGCTGCCTGGGAGCACCTGAATGGCCTCTGGATTGAGATGCTTCGAAAGAATATGCGGGATCGAACGATAGAGGCTCTACACTGGACAAGGACATGGCTGAGATGGTTATTCTGTATAATGTGTTGGATGGACAAGAGCTGTATACTGTTTGGCGGGGTGAATCGTTGGAGTTGCCTGCCTCTGCTGACGGGTGTGTTGAGGCTTTGTGGGCCGGGTAATGAATAGTCTTGGCCTAGAGCTTCAATTCAGTTCATGAGCTACAAGTCCTCTCTTTCCCTGCAATTCGGTCGCACAGTAACAAATCTTTATATCCACCATGGGCCTGGTCGAATACGGAAGCGACAGTGAGGACGAGGAACAACGACAGTCGCCAGAGCGAAAAGAGCCCTCTGATACTCCGTTAATGAAAGTAGGAAAGGTACGTTCTCAAGGATATAGCTCTTCAAAGTTACAATTATTCAAGCGTTAACATAACAGACGTACAGGCACCCCCGTCTCCCGAAATCTCACTGAAAGTTTGTGCTGAAGACATAGAAGGTGTCGTTTGAGCGATATTCCTTATAGACTTAATTGTAAGGACGAAATCGCTAAAGAAAATGTGATCAGGTACAGCAGCAATACCAGACAGCGAAGCAACAACGCGTACCCAAGAGACAGAAGAAATAGGTCCAATAATGGGACCTTCACGACCACCACGAACACCTTCCCCAGCACCACAAACTCCTAACCAAGAACAACTCTCGCCGTACTCTCTTAATCGCGCGACAATCCGCTCATTAACTTTCCCAACATCAATTCCAGATATACCCCCTTCCCCACCTGGCGACGAACCTAAAGAAGCTGCCGCAAAGTTCGATCATTTCCGCCAGCTCAAGCGCCAGGGGATCCACTTTAACGAAAAGCTTTTAAGGTCATCGGCATTACGGAATCCAAATCTGCTCGAAAAGCTCACAGCATTTGTGGGCATTAACGGGAACGAGCAGTACACAAGTAATCTACCGACCGAAATTTGGGACCCAACAGGATTTCCCGAGGAAGCCTTTGCGCCTAAACTTGCAAAGAGCCAGCAAGAGGTGCTGGAGAAACGGCAAACGCAGGAGAGGTCAGGGATCGACTTTATCGGTGCATCTGGATCGACGACAGCTCCAGCTACTGCATTACAAGTAGGGCAGGAAAGGAAGGGTGGTGGTAGTGCTGCAGAGAGGGTAATGGCTGGGCTAGATAGAGAAAGGAAATCCAACACACCTTCGGCGGATTCCTTAAAAAGAAAGGACGATAGAAAGTGGGACGACAGAGACAAAGATAGGGTAAGAGATCGAAGGAGAGATGATGACCCGTATAAAAAACGCAGACGGTCAAGGACGCGATCACGATCAAGGTCAAGGGAGAGGGAGGGGTATAGAGACCGGAGATAATACCATGAAATTTGCATTATGTACTATATCAGTCCCTTTCTTCCCTATGATTTATTATCCTCTTAACGTTCATAATAGTAGTAGAGCCAAAGACAAGGAACCATCACGGGTGACACAGTTCACATTAGTAAAACAGATAGGTCTAGAACCCAAAAGAGAGGGAAAAGAAACTTGTTTATTCCCATCTCCAGCAACAAAAGACTTATGGGTTGAAACCCGTAATCACATATGCTCCCACCCCATTAATTGCGCAAAGTTCCGGTGATCACTACGGCCATGGGTATTGCTAGCGGCATGGCTGATAGATTATCCTTATTGCATATAGGTATATATGTATGTACAGTATAATCTCCTTATAAGGGTACGTCGGGACCGAAATTTGGTACCCTTATAGAGCCGTTACCTTTATAGGAGGAGCAAATTTGTACCTACGAAGCCCAATGGGGACCCCAAACACCTACCCTTATAAGGCGAATACTCTTATAACCCAAACCCTTATAAGGAGATTGCACTGTAACTACATATAACCATACCCATTGATATTTTCTCTCAGGCCTTGGTGGATTTGAAGTCAATCTGTGGAAATGATTAGATGACACCTTTTACTCCAATCAGCACTTTGTACTAGTGAGCAGCGATATTAATGCACCAGGAGTATCTCTTGTATTATCATACAGGTATAAGCTCACAGTAGCCGGTACGTGTTAAAATAAACAGAATGGTGCATTCATGGATATATAAGAGATATTAGATATATAGGAGATATTACATAAGTACATACATGTAGATATTAGATTAGATATTACCAAGGGCGTAATCTCTTTCCTTGTTATGAGTAAATGAATCAAGCCAGTTAACGCAATGCAATTTTGTACAAATTGAGTTGGGAGATACATCGTTTACTTTGTATTGGGGGAGAGGGGGATCTGAAAACTAGTAGTAATAACTTGATTCACTTCCTCGTAGGCTTTATAATTATGTAAATAGGGCCCAAGAATAGCTAGGACCTAGCATGCACCAGGTACCTATGAGTTGGCCTCTATCAGCTCCTGACTAGAGGGGCTCGGTTTGCATTTTGATAAAGGCATTGCTATCCGCTCCTCTGTAATAGAGAGAGAATAGCGATATACCTTTCCGGCGTGACTGCATGTACTAAACTAAAAGAGGCCTCGCTATAATAAATTGGTATTGGGGGTTGAATAGAGATATTGGATTTATAACAATTGATAAGAATTGCGCATGTACGAAGCTGGGGAGTTGAGACATCTATATTAAATAAATATGTTTAAAGAAATTCTTTAGAGAGTACTTATATAGAGAGCTAGCATCTTATAGAATAAACCAAGGGCTTTACCGTCATTCTCCAATATCGGGATTCTATGCGATATTCGTCGATGCTGGAGGGATCGATCTTCTAGTAGGTCTAAGAGTCTTAAATAAATCCGTTCTTGCGTAACATCGCTCCTACATTAATCATTATTAACCCCTCATGATCTGCCAGTAGACAACTTCCATAAGAAATAGAACGTGTATTCTGTCCCAATAGAGCGTGGTTTTGGAACGGATTGGGTTCACGTGTGCGTCATACCCCTTGCTCCATTGAGATCTTTTGTAGTTTATTACAAAGCCAGCTAATGCGAAGAACCCCTAGATATATATGCTAAAGGCTACCGAGAGACAGAATACTTTCTAAAGAACAACGTCTTTCCCTTAAATTTCATCAACGGCAGGAAGGACAATCTTAATGCCGATCCCGAGTGATGTACCATGACGCCCAGTTCGGAGGTGGTGTCAAAACATGGGCTTGAAGAATTAAGCCTCTGCGTATGTGTTATTTTAATCTTTCTGGGTACCTGTAATTGTGCTTCTGCTTCGGATAAGACGGTTAGTACGTTTGCCGTATCGGAACAGCATCGTGCATACGCTCTGTCATCTGTGAAGTTTTCTTTTTTGTAAAGAAGGTGCACGGCTCCTACTCGCGATCAGCTACCTTGTTCAAAAACTCCATGTAATTCTAATTAGCTTGCTCGTCTGGTTGAGAGATTTAATCAATGCGAGTGACATCTCATGACGGAAATCAAGGAATGCATGCAAGAACAAACACACAAACCTCTATCAAAGTTACCATCAAGCCTAATAAAACTTGCAGATTCCAAAGATTCCTTTCGTCTATTGGATGTGTATTCGTTTTAAGTGATATGCTGATTATTTGTTCTCGGTGGCGCCTTATATTTTGTCATCCAATATCACCCGAGCTCCCTTCTCTAATAGCCCTGTAAATGAGTCAATTGGCCACCTATATTTCATATGGTGAGGTTTTTACTAAATTTCGTCGAAATCCCAAGAAAGTCGTAAGTAAATCTAAGGGCAAAAGCCTCATTGACTGTAAATATATTATTCTATGCCTTTCCCCTCTGTTTTTGTACGGGAAAGGGATATTTGACACATCTACGTCTCGGCTATTAGAGTTCAGAGGAATACAGAATGGTACGTGCGCTCGAGACATATATATAACCGTCATAAAGTTTGTGAGCGGCATGATTTCAAATGTATAAATTTTGGTGTTCTTTCGTCTTGTCGATCCCCAGGAGGTGCGCCTTTTTTATAAGCGGGTTCTCTTTTTTGAAACCTTTCAAGGCTTGGTCCACCCTCCACGTAGAAAGAATAGTTTGCATGAGAAGTACATAAATTTGAAAACCCAGAAGAAAACTCCAACTCAATAATTTCAGAAAGAGATATGGAACCAGCCTCCGGCTGGATACAATATCAACGTCCATCTCTGCACCATAGGCGTACGATAGCATAATTATTGAAGTGGCATTGTAGAGCCAGTAGCTAGTTGCACGAGGAATACCACTAAACATATAATGCATCTTCATGATCGTTGTATCATCTGTCCTTTGGATCCATCCCGATAGTTCGAAAGTAATGGTGCTTTATGTAATGTCACTCGATTACTCCCTCAAAAGGGCATAACCATGGCCGGGTTTGAATTATGAGGCCCAAGATATTTGATAACTCCGGTGTATGTATCTAATGGCCGCGGTAATTGGGTTGTCTTGGTGGCATTTGTTATTCCTCCTGGATTATAGCTGCTGAGTGATGTTGCTGTTGAGCTTGCTCGAGGCCTGAAGCAGATAACACATGTTTTGATTATTTTCAAACTTGGATAGTAATGGATCGTAGCTCATACTTATATCCAAGGCGATTAAATCGATGGTGCGACTGACGGGATAATATATATATTCCAGGTACTTATCGCCTCAGTCTTATAGGTCTTTAGTATTCAATAACCTCCATGAACAGTAGGGGTCAGCAATATCTAACACTGGAGTTTCCCAGGTTTCGAATACCGCGTTAGATCCCTTCTTGCTTAAGTATTCTGCGTAAATATTTATATTCCCTCACAAGTCCTAGTCGCATTCCAGATGGACCCGCCAAGACCCGGAAGCAACCCCCCACAGTCGGGAGTCCATGACAATTCGTAGTTAGTAGTTGATCCTATGGGCACTCGCTCGCGCTCATATGCGGCATTTCATCGTCAGTAGATAGGTAATCAAGTGCCTCAATCGGTATACCCGGCAAACTGAAGTCTTAGCATGCTGCACGGTCCAACCCAGAAGAAAAGAAACCAGATCTCACTCCCGCGCAACCTCAAAAACCTCTTCACACAACCTCAAAACTCACTTCACTGTGGACTAAAAATCCACCTCTCAAAAACCCCCATAAAGACCATACGAACCTCTCTAAACCACCCCCCTACTATACTCAAGGTCAAAATGGAGGCCCTCACAACCTTTGTCCAAACCCACGTCCTGCAGCCAGACAACACGATCCAGATTCTGGGCCGCACGTACCGCCCGAATGACATCTTCCGTATGGTTATTATCATCGGAGGATACCTCCTGCTGCGCCCGTATATCCTCAAGATGCAGGCAAAATTCCAGGAGAAGGACCACGCGCGCGAGATCGATCCCAGCGAGGAGTCGAGCCATTCGGCGATGGCGGCGAGGAGGAAGCCTGCAGGCGAGGAAAGCGACGACGAGGATGACGATTCGTGGGGCGCGAAATTGAGGAGGAGACGGAGGGCCGAGGCGGCGGAGAAGGCGAGGTTGATGGAGGAGGAGAACGACAGTGACGATGAGATTGCGGAGTATTTGGAGAAGGAATAGGGTTGGGCGGTGGTGTTGAGACTAGGAAGATGATGGGCAATAATAGTGAGATCAGGGGGCTCTTGGGTTTAATGTAATAAATGAGGCACGCCACGACCCGGAAAGATGCGCAAAGACTGGAGTTTAAAAGTTGCTATTGCTATGGTGTTATTTGTCTACACCGTGCTGGAGGGGGATATATAAAAGTATACTCTATGTAACAGAATAATAATCTCTAAACAAACAAAACCAAAACCTATCCAGTCCAGTCCAGTCCAGTCCAATCCGATCCGATCCGTGAAAAAGAGATAATAAAACATATACATGTACAGACCAAAGAAAAACAATCATAATCTATGTCCATTAACCCATCTTTTCATCATAAGGTATCACTCTAACTACTACAAAAACTACAAAAACTATAGCTATGCATAGCATACTGCTCTATCCCGCTCTTCCTACAACTGCCCCGATCGCTTTATCGTCTTTCAGGGCGATCTTGATCTCCTCCTCATTGATCAAAAACCTTACGCGGCCTCCACCGCTTCCTTTCTTCTCCAGGCCGACAACTCCGGCCTCCACAAGACCCTTCACGGCACTTTCAATGCCGCCAACACGAGCCTCACCACCAAGCTCCTCAACTCCAATTTCCTGGATCTTGACAATCCTGGCCGCCTCATCCATGACATCGCGGAGTACGCTCTCGCCCACTCCGCTTCTCCTACACCTCACTAGCAGGGCCACCAAAAAGACCTTCGACGACAGCGAACATGTCTTCAGGAACACCTGCACCGGCGAACTGGTAGCTTCCAAGATTGCCTGTCTGATGGTGGCAATTGTCACTCTTCCGCCGGCTTTGATCCCACCGCCACCAGAGCCGTCATCATCATCTTCCCTCATCATGGCGACCTTCCCGCTCAGCCGCCGACCCTTCTCGTTCTCACTACTAATAACAGGTGCATACTCTACCATCTCTACAGCGCGCCGGCATATATCCAGCGCTCTTCTGGCATCACCGGACACGGCCGCTACCTTACGTGAGGCGAACTGGACCGCGTCTGCGTCTACGATATCGCCCTGGACACTCTCGAGCCTACTCTTGATGATTGTCATCAGCTGGTCATAGGTGTACCCGGGAAACGTGATTCTTGTCAGCCCCAAGCGTGAGCTGATCTTATTGCTGAGCGTGCGCTCAGGCAGATCCATGGTGTTTGCTACAGCTAACACAATGAGTCGTGAGTACTTCCCACCCGGCCAATTGAAAAAGTTGTACATGACGCCTTGCCCCTTCGTGACAAGCTGGTCGAGCTCGTCCATAAGCACGACACAGGGCACTCGGCGCGGGCTCGGCGTGCTGAATTCAGACTCAAGGAGCCCGAGGGCTTGCGACGGGGATACTCGGTCTCCTTTGATGGCTTCCCACAGGAGGGAGTAGGACTGATGGGGGTCGGCGACTTTCATGCCGTTGATCTCGACGAATGTGAAGTCATCGAGCTCTTCCAAGGCGACTAGGTGCCGGAGTTGCGTTATTACTTCGCGGACAGTAGCAGTTTTGCCTGTTCCGGGGGTGCCGGAGATGTAAATACAGGATCCAGTGCCTTCGGTGATTGCGGCGGAGAGCTGCGTATAGACTTCGTTGAACTCGGCTTCACGGCAGGGGAGGGATGCGGGCAGAGTTGAGACATGTAGATGGTGTCGAGCAGCGGCGTAGGGTGAGGATAAATTAGGGAGAGTACGGGTGTTTAGGGGCGTGAAAAGGAGCGGCTTCTTGATGGTGATTTTGCGGTTTGTTGGGGTGGTGAACTTGCGCGCGGAGGTGGGGGTGCGGCGAGTGGGTGTGGTAAGTAGGTTCTTTCGAGTAGGTGTGAGGAGATTCTTCTGCGTTGGTGTGCTGAAAGTGAAATTCGTGCGCCTCTTACTCGGCGTTCGGGGGGCTTTGGTTTTCCGGCTGAAGTTATTATCATTAACGTCGAAATCGTCCTCTGCATCTTCGTCCTCCTCCGGTATTGTCTCTACCGTTCCCTCTCTAATAAAATCCCGGTCTCCACTATCATCTGAGTCCACGGAGGTCTCTCTCCGTCTTCTCTTTGGCCGTACCCGGTTTTCCCTATTCTCTGTAGCGGCATGCTTCTGCGCTTTCTTCCGTGTAGCTTTGGTGCCCTGCCGTACCAGCTCGCCAATTGCAAAGATATCTGTATCGCGCCCTTTGTAGATAGTGTCCCAATCAAGCTCGGGGGTGTAGTTTGCTGTTCGGGGGTTGCAACCGCGACGGCAGACAAAGACTTTCCCGTAGTCACGGGACTTTTTGGGAACGCCGTTGGGGTATTGATCGTTGAAGACTTTTGGAGAAAGGATCTTTGCGCGGCCATTGATCGAGCGCAGTGGGCACAGGTTGTAGGAAGGGTTTATATAGAGCTCGTTCTGCCTCCATTATCAGCATATTGTAGCTCTCAAGCCAGACACCGGAGGTGACAAACTCACAGGCAAGAAGTCCATCCGCTTCTTCTCTTTGTTCTTGATCTCGAACTCCGTCGAGAACCACATCACATTGACAGACATGTCGTCCTCCGTGCCCTGATCCGAGTCCTCAAACTCGCATGCCATGCCGACATACGCCTCACCCTGCAGTCCGTCGCCCTTGATGAACACGCAGTCGCCAATCCGCACGTCAAAGTCACCTGTCCGCGCGCCAATAATCTCGCGCTTCTTCCCATTGATCTCCGAGTGCCCGACCTGGTCGAATGTGTCTGGCTCCGCACTGTAGATCCACTCCCATGGCAGGTCTTCGTCGCCGAGCTCGTCGTCGCTGTCTTCGCGCGCGACGCCGACGCCCCGGAGGAGCGCGCGCGCTTTGCTAATGGAGGAGGACTTTGTGGCTTTCGAGGGGAGGTGCGAGGTCGTCATTGTGGAGGCGAAGAGGCCGGCGAGCATCGGATTTAGCTGTTAGTCGGAGGTGTCGGGGGGGTATCAAGCCCAGTCAGTGACGGTTATCTGGAATATATTCTGGATTCTTGTTAATAAGGGGGAGACGCGTATTGTGGTTTTTCGCGGTTTCCCGGCCTGTTGGCTGACCTGCATGGCAACCAGCCCACACACTCAAAATTGAGGGCCGAATTGAATAGAATTTTTAAAGGATAATTAATTTACTTGGAGTGAAAAATCTCGTACAACTGGGGGGGGGGTCCCAAGGAAACCATTAACTACATGTTATCAACCCGGGAAATTATTATTGATGGAGGGCAATAATATAGAGCAGGATACATACATGTACTGTCTGCATTCGAGCTTGTCTACATGTACCTATAGAGCTTTTCTCACCAGATCCTCACTTACTCCACAATTGCAACCAGCCTAATTCTGTCGTCACAGTGAAAGAATAGTGACTTATACGTCCCGGCCGCGGTCAGTTATGCGCTGTTTAAGCCATTCGCATTATTTCATCTACTTACATCAAGATTCAGTACTTCGTTGGGTGATACGCTTAATGCAATCGTGACGCCAAGTGATATCACGTGCTATAGGTTTTAAGTGGATTTATTTTAGCGTGCCAAGATTTCGTGGAAAACTTCAATGACCAGGCTACTTAATGTAACCTCACCCCCACTATCTTACAACCAAACGGTATTTTGTGAAGCTATAGAACACAATGCCTCAGAACGAGTATATCGAACGCTGGCAGAAGCTTCACGGAAAGAGGTACATCTCACTCCTTTGAATTGAATAACTTATAGAGTCCTATACTAACTGTCATATAGGCTTGATCATGATGAGCGAAAGTAATAGCCACCCACCCCGCCCCCCACCTCTCTACCGGTACTAACCCCCAATCCAACAGACGTAAGAAGGCCGCCCGTGAAGGCCACAAAGCCTCCCAGAATGCGCAGAATTTCATAGGTCTCCGCGCCAAACTCTACGCCAAAAAGCGCCACGCCGAGAAGATCCAGCTGCGCAAGACGCTCAAGCAGCACGAGGCGAAGAATGTCAAGTCTGACGGTCCCAGCGAGCCCTCCGCCAACCCGCTGCCACCCTACCTTCTCGACCGTTCCCAACCCACCAATGCGAAGGCGCTCTCCACAGCTATCAAGCAGAAGCGTGCTGAGAAGGCGGCAAAGTTCAGCGTGCCGCTGCCCAAGGTGCGTGGTATCAGCGAGGAGGAGATGTTTAAGGTTGTCAAGACTGGAAAGAAGACGGCCAAGAAGGGTTGGAAGAGGGTTATCACAAAGCCGACTTTTGTTGGTAGTGATTTTACCAGGAGGCCGGTCAAATATGAGAGGTTCATTCGCCCCATGGGATTGAGGTACAAGAAGGCCAATGTCACACATCCGGAGCTTGGTGTGACAGTACAATTGCCGCTGTTGAGCGTCAAGAAGAACCCCCAGAGCCCGATGTATACACAGTTGGGTGTGTTGACAAAGGGAACAATTATTGAGGTCAACGTGTCAGAGCTGGGTATGGTCACAGCTAGCGGAAAGGTCGTTTGGGGTAGATGGGCACAGATTACTAATAACCCGGAGAACGATGGATGTGTCAATGCGTAAGTTATCTTTCTTATCTAGTTTCCTAGAATTGTGAGCTAATTGGATTGGTTGATGTAGGGTCTTGTTGGTCTAAATTTGGATGGGAAATCTAAATAAATAGATGGGATAGATTTGTAGGGACGGGGACGAAAAGCTGGTAACGATGCTGTATATCATATTTTAGGTTTCAAAATAATGGAGTTCTTTTTTTCTTTCTTCTTGTGGTTGCAGCTACTTACTCAAGTATAAAGTACATGTATGTTTCTGGTGAAGTGTGTTTCATTGATAACGCATGTACAAAACAGCATCTTTCTGTATAGTTGACCCCACTTGGTAAACTATGCACACGGGCCACGGTGTTCTTTAGTATCCCTACCCCAACTTCTAACGTATGTAGCTTATATACTCTACATTCCACGAGTTAAACCTCAAAATATAGAGGGGTAAGTTTCGTCGAACGGGTGTAAGGGTGGGTTGACAGTCTCTTCCCGATTATAAAATTTCTATTACTAAGTATGGTCGACTCTCTGCTCCAAAGACTAGTATGAAACTACTTACCTAGGATAGATTGAATTAGTAGAAAGCTTTGGTATCTCTAGTTATGCCTAAGAGTGTTATAATCGGTGGATATCGGTCGAGTCATCCGGCACCTAAGAATTTAGGGATGGCAAGGATTCTTAATAGACTACATACATACTTTCACAGCAATATATAGCACTACATACAGCCACTCTGCAAAAGTGTTCGTGATTCCGATTTCGGAGTGAGACATTTCTCCATATGTAATATAACCGTACTGGCGGACCATCAAAAAACCCCAAGAGAAGACTTCCCCAGTGACCAATGGTGCCCGAATCGTTGAAGAAAAAGATCAATGACTTACCTTCTTTTATGTATAGTCACGAACTGTATTATATATTTTTCGTTATTTTGAATCTTAAAATTAATAACATCAACATTACGGGTGCGCCACACTGCTCACTGACATTAAAACTAAATCACGAACGCTTTTGCAGAGTGGCTGTATATAGGTCTTATGTCCCTGGAATTCGGGACGAGATATGCATGTAAGTTTTCCTCTTCTTTGATAATTAATCGGCCATAAATCATGCATGTTATGAGTACATTGAGAAATGAAATAGAAATACATGTATTTCCTTCATACTATAGCTAGTCTAACTTAGCACAAGTCGTGGATTCCATAATAGATATCCCAGTAACCCAGAACCCCCAGAGAGTGGGAGCCACCAAACAGCATCCGGATAGAACACAATATGAGACATAGAGAGCTCGAGACCATGATTTTTTATACAAACTGTAAGCACCAATAGCGTTGCGAATCATGCCACCCCGAATGTTTTCAGTTGAACTCCTTCAACCATCGCAAAGATATTTATTGGGAACCAGACTAGCAGCCAACCTCTCTGGGAGAAGGTGCTCTGCCTTGAATGGAACCCAGTCAGTTCAGCTACCATGATGAATGGCCCCGATACGACTAAATTTATCAAAAAACAAACAACAAAAATTGATATCCACCGCTGTTGGAATCATTTGGAGGGTGAATGATCGTCTTAGAGGAGTTTATCTACAAATGATCTACAGGGCCTATTTAAATCACTTTGACCACACAAAACTTACCCTTGCCAAACCTTACAAGCAGCACTTCGCCATCTACCAACCACTCTTCCTCTACCTTCGCCTTTGTGTCCATTACCTTTTCACTCCCCAGCCCCACATACAAACCTCCGCCTCTCACTACATTATCGGCCTCGCCCTTACTTTTACACACCCCAATCCTCCTTGCAACCTTCGTCACCAACTCACCCACCACCTCGCTCCTCGGCACCTCCACCACACCTGGGAGCTGCAGGATCTCTCTCGCAGAAACCTTCATCGTCTCTCCAGGCGCCGGAAACAATAGTTTCGTCTGCAACTCGGCACGCTTTGCCTCTTCTCCTCCATGGATCAGCATTACAACCTCACTGGCGAGCAAATGCTGAGCGCGACGTTTCTCGGGGCTCGCAAGGTGCTCCTCAAGTACACTGCTGACAGTGCTGAGAGGCAGTAGTGTAAACATCTTTAGGTACTTCCCTATCACGTCGTCGGGAAGGCGTACGAAGAACTGGTAGAGCTCAAAGGGGGAGGTGAGGGTTGGATCAAGCCATACGGCGTTCCCGGCAGTCTTCCCGAATTTAGCACCTGAGGGTGTGGTAAGGAGAGGGACTGTTAGTCCGTACGCGGGGTCGAATTTAGTTGGAGTGCTACTAGGTGTTTCTGGGGTTGTGGGGGCACGCAGTTTCGTTATCAGGTCAATTCCGGCGGTTATGTTGCCAAATTGATCATTTCCACCGATCTAAAGAGGATTAGTTTTGTAGGGGGATTGTTTGGTAAACGAAGCTTACTTGTAGACGGCAGTTTTTCTTGTTGTGTAGGTGCCAGAAATCATAGCTCTGTAATAGCTGATATGTGAATTCTGCGAAATTGATGCCTTGTCCGGTCGTCATCCGGCCCTTTACACTATCCTCAACACATCGATCAGCGCCAACTCCTACACCCACTACCTAACCCACTACCAAGCACCGACGCTTAATAATTTCCATAATCAAGATTCGGAGAAACCTACCTCTCTCGCGCCAACATCTGACTGACTCTGACATGTCTCCCGACAGTACTCAAAAACTCTACAAACCCTAACCCTTCCAACCACTCTCCGTTCGTAACCAATTCTCTCTTCCCCAGTTTCTCCTCGCTATACCCTCTAAGTAACGCATACTTCTTTGCGCTTTCAAAGAATCCATCGATCTGCCGCCATATTGAATCGAACGCCTTCTGTAACCTCTGCGATTCCACAGAATCACGCTCCGTAGTCCTCCCGGATGGATCCCCCACCGATGCGGTAGCTTTCCCAACCTTTCTAGGTCAGCTAGCACGCGAGCCAAGAGGCGTGAAAGGGGGGGTTATACGAGTGCGATAGAATGGTGGCCATTGAGGTAGAAATGGAGCAGGTTCATGAGAGGAAGGAGGTGCCCGACATGGAGCGAATTCGCGGTTGGGTCAACACCGGCATACGTAGTTATGGGATTCGATTCGATCAGGTTTTCAAGGTCCCCGGAGGTGCTGGGGGGTGCTTATTAGAACTGAGTCGCGGTAAATAAATGGTGGGTTTCTCCATACATACCCTGTAACTGACTCGACGAGCTCTCGTTCCTGCAGGTGCTGGAGAAGCGTTTGGGATCTGATTGAGGCGGCCGAGAAGGGTCTCCTACGGGGAATTGGCCGGTACTGGTTACGGGAGAGGGAGCGTAGAAGCCGAGTCGCTGATCGGGCGAGTGATAGGGGAGGCATTTTGGGGCGATTGGCGCTTGGTTCCACTCTAGAATTATGGATGGTGGGATGTTTATGGCGGGGGGCAGAGCCTCATCCTTGCATGCAGATCGTGAAAGCCAAGCCAGTAGTATCAACCGAGTGATATCTGGTGCATGTCAATCATATGAAGATTTACCACAAACAGTATCACATAAAGAGTACTAAGTCTAATACCGCCAAAACTCGAAAAATTGGCTACCTCCGTCCAGGGATTACCATCCGAGTGATTGGTTGAATGGCATCGATCTGCATAAGAGGTTTCCGATAGAAGTAATTTTGATCTAGCCAATTTTTCGAGTTATGGCGGTATGTACTACGCTTCAGTTTTTCGCGCTCGGTTAAACCCTGACCCCCAACGGTATACCCCCAAATTTAAATGTTATGTACTATTCGAGGGTCACGGTGGAGGACGGAAGTATGCCACCGACTCACTAGCGCTCATGGATTTTTAAGGGAATTAGAAAATTACCTACCATCAACCACTTCCTGTGGCCTAACAAGCTGAAGTGTCGTCCAGAGGGGCCGAGTTCGATAGTTCGAACCTCCCAGACTTGGTGGGAAATCATACACTGTGTGACTGGGTAAAGGAGCAGAGCGGGATGCCTCTCCTTTTTGCTACTTTGGACCTTGGAACACGGAATTTCCTTTTTTCCTTTTTTTTTTTTTGGCTCCGTTTTTTGAAACTTTGGACGGAACCCACGAACTCCTCGAGGGTCGTACTGACTCGTGGTATTGTACTTACTGTACTTAAAAGTCACTTCAGGGCAAAAATGAATGAGTGAAATTTGTGTCTGTATTGATTAGATAAGCGAATACCCGGCGTAGACATAGCCTATCACTCGTATTTTAGTACTCTAGCTGAGTACCTATGTGCGCACTCTGTTAATACACAGCGAGAGCGAAAAAGTGGAGCACTAACCCCCTGCCGATCGTACACACTCCATCCGCAAAACCTCTCTATAGCTATTAGATGGCGGGCTCGAGCACCATCTTTAAGGCCCGGACGGCTCCATGTAGTACGGGTCTCTAGATCTGTCGATCCACTCCAACCCCTTTCGCACGTACTTACTTGGCTGCAGGTGTTCGGCTCAACGCGATTTTGAGATAGTCGTACTGTAACACCAAGGTTAGAGCTGATGGGGAATCGAATTGTTCACATCCATCTTGGCGTTCATCATGATCGATGCATCCACTCGTACGTACAAGCATTTCTGGTTGGTTCGCAGAGTTCATCGAATCCCAAATTGGCCTGGATTGGATTTTTATATCGTGTGGATGCGGTACGTACGGGAACCCCATGCCAGTTTAACGCTGATTTCATTTTCTATCCCAATTGCGGGTGTGGGACATGGACAGAATACATATATGTAGAGACTCCTATAGCTAGCTAGTAAGGTTTACTGAATGAGTAAACCAGCTAACCAACCAATCCTAGTGAGGTTGAAACCCGCCGAGTGATATCCCATGATGTGCTCTTCATGTGGTGGAGACAGTATGTACGTCTGGGTATAGATGGTGCGAGACTATCTAACTACTGTATGTAGTGACCGCTGTGGGGCCGGGGAGGGTGGGGGAATCACTCATTAAGTGTCTGCCATAGTAATAACACTTGTAACAGGTATGAATAGAATCGGCTTTACTCGATACATAGTGGGCTCGTCTCGTCTCTTTACGCGCTGTATCATTCTGCATACAGAGTCCTGTGTATGGTAGCTACATGTAGCTCATATACTTTAGGGAACCTGGATGATGCACACCGAGTGCTATACCATGACGCATATGTTTGAGATTGGCGGGCGTGGGTTTGGGTTGTGGTGTTTTTCTACTTATCATGTGTGGGGAAGGAAAGAAGGATTGGAGTAACTGTACTAGGGCGGAGTGCAGAGGGTGGTTAGTTTGGTTGGTTGGGTTGGTTGAGAGATAGGCACTAGGAGGTAGATATATACGACGGGGGCTTGAAATCCAGTCATGTCTACAAACCCCACAATCACTCAAGTCAAGCACCACATAACCCCGCACCCACCAACCCCCCCCAAAGCAGCAGAGAAGCAACGCACAGAGAAAGAACGAAAAAAAGAGCACTCCATTCACATTACTATCTATAACATACAACCCCCCCTCCCCCCCACACCCCATCTAGACACCCCCCCGTCCCCTCCGCCGCTCCCACACCTGCAAATAACTCTCACTCGTAAACAACAACTCCCTCGCCACCTCCTCGACAAACAAATCCTGTATCTGCACCCACTCGCCGCTCGCGCGATTGCACAGCTGCACCTTATAGACGCTGCGCATGTCGCCCTCCTTCTTGCCCGTCGTGGTCGTGACGCTCTCGTGCGTGATGTTGGCCACCAGGTCGTACCACACGGGCTCGCTGCCGGGCTCGGTGGGGGTGCGCTCGACGTAGGGAGACATGTCGAGGGAGCGCGTGGGGAAGGTGACGATCGTTGGGTTGCGCTCGGAGACGAACTTGTTGCGGGAGAAGCGCTTGATGTGGAATATGAGGAAGGGGGGGAGGGGGGAGAGGAGGCGGTAGCGCTTGCGTTGGCCGAGGAGCTCTTGAGAGTGGAGGCCGTCGTATTTGCTGAGGATTGTGGTGAGGGGCACCTGTTGCTGTTAGTTCTGATAGTCTGGGGGAGGGGGGGGGGGGGGTGTTACTTGGGGAATGATGTTCTTATCCTGCTCATCCTTAAAGATCGGCTTCGGCGGCAGGTCCAGCGTCAACATCATAAACCGCACCACCTCCGTCTTGATCTCCGCCGCCTCCTCGAACCTCAGCCGATCCGACGCGTCCGCGCGCGCCGTGATGGCCTGCGACTCGACCTTCAGCCGCCCCTGGAACACCTTCTGCACGATGGACGTGCCCGCGCGCGTCTTGGACCCGCCGAGCGACAGGTGCAGGTGGTTGAGGAACCACGACAGGAAGTCGACGGGATCGGACTGCGTCGTGAGCGTGAACTTCTTGGACGAGCGCAGCGAGATCTCTTGCAGCAGCTCGTGCGGCGAGACGTGCGACTTGAAGGCGCGCGGGTTCCACAGCTTGCGCACGAGGATGCTGAAGCGCTGCGCGAGCTCGGGGCGCGCGGACAGCGGCTCGAGCATGAAGTAGTTGCGTAGTGGGGCGACGTGGGCGAGCGCGTGGACGACGACGTTGAGGTAGTCGTTTTGCTTGATGTTGTTGAGGCCGACGAAGCCTGTTTTGTTCCCCATATATCAGCCTATCTCTGTCCATCCAACACATGAAGATTCCGGGAGTGTATGTACCGGGGATGTATTTCTTCCCGCCCAGATCCCAGCGGACCTTGACCTCCTTGTCGAGCTTTGCGACGTCGTCCTTGCTGTATGTCGGGTTCGCGACGTACTTGATGTCCTCGAGCGTCTTGTTCTTGACCTCGTAGCTCTCGGGCAGCACGTACACGCGCAGGCTGGCGATGTTGATGAAGACGTGGTGGTCCTGGTCGAGCGAGTGCGTGTAGGCGTGCGAGGAGCGGCCGCGGCCCTGGAAGTACTTGCCGCACACGAGGCAGGCGTAGACGTTGATGTTTGAGAGCGAGATTGAGCACAGCTTTTCAAAGTCTGCCCACCATCACCATCACCATCACCAGCATCAGCTTGTCAGCTCTTCATCACCGAGTAGGTAGGTAGTAGTAGAGAAAGGATTGGAGATGGAGATGCAATATACCGAAATCCAGCAGCGTCCTACCCCCACCACCACCAGCACAACCATCAGCCCCACTCCACCGCAATGGCAAATAGAACAGACCAGACAGTAGAGAGATCTCACCTATTCACAGTGTCCAAATACAGGTCCGAAAAGCCCTCCGTCGGCCCCGCCTGCACATCCCTCACGACCGCCGTCAGCGCGCTCTCCTCGCCGTCCTCCGCCTCCTCCTCCTCCTCCACCTCCTCCTCCTCCTCTACCTCTCCATCCTCTCCATCCTGCGGGGGTGCCCGTGGCCGCGACGCCTCGAGGATCTTTCCTCCTCCTCCTCCTCCTCCTCCTCCTGTGCCGCTGGCGAAAGACTCGTCCTCGATCTCGTCGACGCGCACACGCTTGGGTGTCAGTGGGGCGCCGTCGTCTGCTGTGTCGAGCTCGAGCGAGGTGTCGGCGGGGCGTTTCGACATTTGTGTTGGTGTTGGTGGTGTGTGTGGGGGGGCGGGGTGGGAGGTGGGCGGGGGAGAGGACTGGTTTGGAGAGTTTGGAGAGCTGAGAGGTTGTGGTGCAGCTTTGCCGGGTGTCTGGCTGGGGCTGGCTGGGGCTGGCATGGCCGGGTTACCAAGAGACCTGCACGGCGAGTCAGCAGCGAGAGCGAGCGAATGGGTCAACCACAGCACTCCTCCACCGCTCTTCCACCGCTCCACCACCGCTCTCCCACTCCCACTCCCACTCCCGCTCCCGCTCCTACAGCTACAGCTACAGCTACAACTACCACAGCAATGGGCACCCCCCCACGAGGCCCCCGCGGCGGCCACGGCCACGCCGCCCGCAGAGCCGCCGCCGGACGAGAGCGCGAGCGAGAGCGAGGGCGAGACCGCGCAGACCGCGCAGACCCCGACCACGACCGCGACCGCGAACGGGACCGCGACAGACACGGCGGTGGCAGGGCCGCAGCACGTAAGCGCAGCCGCTCCAGAAGCCCCGACCCCCGTCCGCACCGCCGCGACAGGGACAGAGACAGAGCACGAGGTTCGTACCTTCCCCCCCCCCCCCCCGAAAGCTAGTGGCAGCATCTGATTGGGTGAATGAATAGACTACCGCCGCCCCCCGCCACCGCCCCGTGACCACGACGCACCCCCGCCAGACCGCGAATACACGATCCGCGGCGGGCGCAGCCGCGACGAGGAGCCAAAGTCGCGGCGGCACCGGTCGCGCTCGCGGGACCGCCGGAATAGGGAGCAGGCGGCAGCGAGAAGGAAGAGTCCGTCGCCGGTGGCGCCGCCGCCGCCGCCCCAGCAGCAGCAGCAGGATGTGAAGATGAGCGGTGGTGGAGGAGGGGAAGAGGAGGAGGCGGCGGCGGGAGAGGTGGAGGGGGAGGAGGAGGATGATACGGAGGCGCAGATGAGGGCCATGTTGGGCATTGGCGGCTTTGGGACGACGAAGCAGAAGAAGGTCAAGGGGAATGATGTGGGTGCTATTAGTAAGAATACGACGGTCAAGTATCGGCAGTATATGTATGTTGACTCCCTCCTTCTTTCTGGGTGTGTTTGGGTGGCTGGCTGGCTGACTGCGGTGGTAGGAATCGGCCGGGTGGGTTCAATAGGGCGCTGTCGCCTTCGTAGGTCTGGCTGGCTGGCTGCGGAGAATTGCAAGTTCTCGAGTCCTTCTCTCTCTCTGTATGATCATAGCTCTGTAGCTCCCTCATTCCCCGAATTTGTAGCTCATTTCCCCTCTTCTTTCCTATAGACAGATACACTTCGGCATCTAGTGTTTTCAGCGACTGGAGGCTATCTTTTGCATTGCTTTTTTCATTTCGTTTTCGTTTTCGTTTTCGCCCGCTATGGTACAGTGTCTTCAATAATACATCTTTTTCCCTCGCTCGTAAAGTACAGTGTTTGGCTAGAGAGAGAACATCCAGCTGTGCTAGGCAGAGACAGTATAGGACGAGTGAGAACCCATATCCCCCCACCCACCCAACTACATAACCCAGCCGGATGTATCGAGTGACACCCCATGCTGTGCGTGAATGCCATAGTGCGAGTAGACAGACGAGTGAGAACCCATGTCCAGGCCACACAGCAATCTTCCGCAACCAAGAAAAAAAGAGCTCTCTCGCCTTCTAGCTACCCTTCTTTTACCGCCACACAGCTGGTGATGCAATTGTTAAACCTCGCCCCCCCCCCGCCCCCCCCCATAACGACGGCAGATGGTGGAGTGGGGTTTTTCCGCGGGTAGGCATATCAGGACTGGCCATGGGGTTATCGTTGATCTCTTGCATATTCGTGCGGCCGGTTTGAAGCCGCCCAAAGATCTGTGGCGACTGATCTGGCAGCCAATAAGAGCTCACTCTTTTGCAGTCTTTAGATCATCAATTACCTTTCTTGCTTGAGCGGCTTCAATCCGGCAGCGCGAGTATAGAGTACAGCCCGCGCGATCTAGTACATGTATGTATGTACGGTACACACCTGACCTCCCCTAGCCAAGATTCGTAGTTTGGCTCCGCTCCGTTGATTTAGTGGTAAGGAGCGCCGGCTGCTGGGAGATGGTATAATACACCCCAAGCTAGCTAGCTACCGAGACTCGCTTCAATCAATCAATACCGAAACTCGCTAGCCATCCGACACGGAACCGATCATCGAGTGATAGTCCATGAGTCGCCACTCCGGGTGGGTTATCACATACATGTAAGCGGGTGTGACCGAGCCCAATCAAAGTCCTCGAGTGACACCACATGCACATACACAACCAAGACGAGTGACCGCGCGTGAGTCGAGACATCGAGTGAGATGTCATGTCCGCCACCACAACCCGCTCACTCGCACAGAAATATATTCTGCTCAATATCACGCTACATGTAATTAACCGTCCTTTCCTATTTCTATCTACTCTCCTATCCCGCCACATAAACGCACGAGTACACATACACCTAAGCCCCCCCTCCCCCACTCCCATCCCCATCCCCTCATCCCCACCCCTCCAGCAGTCCAGTCCAGGCATATACACCCCTTCCACCACCACCACCACCACCCACGAACAACGAACAACGAAAAAAACAGAGGGAAAACAAAAAAGGTCTTGGTATTGATAATAAAAAAAACGACTCTTTTACTGGAAACGATGGTGTGTTCCAGGAACGAATGGGTCACAAATAAAAGGTTCACAAAAAAAAGGTCACAAGGAAAGAAAGGGGCCAACAACCAGCAACAATCTATCGCCCAAAGCGCATCTCCTTCTTTGCGTATTTATGCAGCGCCCTCAAAAACACCTGATACCCCACCGCCTCGTTATCCGGCACATGACTAGTATACCCCACACATTAGCACACCACTCCCACACACAGAACACACCCAGGGAAAGGCAAGAAACACTCACAAAATCTCCGTCAACCGAATCTGCCACGGCGGATACCCCCTCAGCGTGACATTGGGACTAAACAGAATCAGTAGATCCGGCTCCGGGATGACATTCTCCTTGACCTCCGCATCGATCAGGTCGATGCTGACGTCCTCTGCGGCGATCTTTCCGCGCTGCGCCATGTCGCACAGCGTCTTTGTCAGGTCGACCAGCGATTCGCGCCCGTCCTCCTCGCTGATGATGACGACCTCGATGTCGACGCGGGGCCCGCCCTCCTCTTCATCGGACTGGTCGGTGGTCGTGAATGCGCCGGACGGCGGGGAGTGCACGCGCAGGGTGGGGCGCGACTTGCCGAAGTAGCTGTGCAGGCGCTGGGAGATGGAGCGGTGCGTGGTGGAGATGTAGGATTTGAGCACACCTGCAGAAGGGGGGGGGGGGGGGGTCTTGTTAGTCTCTTACCGCTACTAGGACAGCAGGGGTGGGGCGGGGGTAGGGGGAGAGGGGCGCTATATACCCGTCTGCTCATAGACACTCAGACATCTGATCCCCGCACTCGCGCACCAGCACGTAATCTCCGCCACCTCATCCACCAGCGTATCCAGCCCTCCCTTCTCAAACTCCACAATGACACTCACATGTCTCGGCAGATTCCCGGCCTGCCTCAGCTCCTGCACGTCCTGCTGGATGAGCTGCGGCGTGCGGTGGTGGTAGTAGAGGATGCTGAAGCCGCGGTTGAGCGCCGTGCGGTACGTCCACCGTAGCTTCGTGTACACGCTGTAGATCAGGTACAGCGTCAGCAGCACGAGCTTGTAGAAGCGCGTGAACACAAAGTCGCGGATGGGGCGGCGGCGCGGCTCGACGACGGGCGGGAGCCGCGGGATGATGAGGCGCTCGCGGTCGGTGACCTCGAGCGGCTTGGTGGGGGGGTTGCGGTGGGTGGTGGGGGCGGGCTTGGAGATGGAGGTGCTGGTTGCGGAGGGGGTGGGGGTGCTGGCGGGGGTGGGCGGGGCGTTGACCATGGTGGTGGATAGGGGGGTGGGCGGGGGGGCTCTTCTGGCTTGGTCTCTGTCCACGTAGAAGGGAGAGAGATTCCAGGGAGAGTAAGTCAGTATCAATAAGATATGACGGATGTGAATATATAGAATATAGAATAGAAGGAGTAGTCGATATTTGGGGGGGGGGGGGGGGGGGGGGGGTTGAGTATGAGGTTGTTGAAGGGAGCGTCTGCGATGTCCGACGGAGTGTCGTCGAGAGATGTCGTCGTCTGTGGCCGGGGGACGGAAAAATACCCAGCTATCAGATGCCTGGCTGGCTGGCCCGTACTGACGTCTACCGCTTGTACCACCAGCCCGTAACTCAGCCCGGGAGGAAGGCCTGAAGGGTGGGTGACGCAATGGGTTAATTAAATGCACGCAGCCTCGCCCAATGAAGGCCCGCGAAGGGTGTATTTTTGGCAGCAGTGAGCGTTCTCTCGATCTCCCTCCCAGCCAAGTGTCTGTCTACATAAACGAAATAAACAGGAAACAGGAAATTCCACTGCTTAATTACTTGCGCCCCCCACGCACGCACGGAATGCGATGGATCCAAAGTGTGAGTGTGGCCGGGAGAAATGTTTGGCGTGTATGCACGCTGCAAGGTTGTTTTGCTGATCATGCATGCGTTGCAGATGGAACGGATACAAATGTGCACTTCCTCGCACAGAGGTTTTGCGGTGTTTGATATTGTAATTGAGTTCTCACCGGTGTAAATTGGAATCATTTCCAGGTGCCCTCACATGTGCCAATCTCTCAACAGCTCTGTGCAGCTGCAGCAACGGCTTAACCGTTTATTCTTGGCGCCTGCCATGTGAAGCTCGGCATCATGATACATCACTCGGTCACAGATTGCGCATGGATGTGCATGCTTTTGATTTGCTTTTTTTTTGCTTAATGTCGCGATAATAGAGTGTTTTAGTCCTCCATTTTTTGTCCATAATTCAGACTCGCGGCGCCGAGACCTGCGCCGAGTCCTGTAAGAGTGAAAAATAGACCAATAGCAAGCTCAAGGTGATGGAGATCATTTCTGATTTTACACATTTACAGGGCTCGGCGCAGGACTCGGCGCTGCGAGTCTGAATTATGGACGAAAAATGGCCGAAATATGGGAGGACTAAAACACTCTAATCCTCTAATCTTGAGCTTGTTGTCAATGACCAGAGTTACAGGTTTTTTCCTTGCGAAAGTGGGGACATGGAAAACAGCGAGATTGGCGAAAGTGGTTTTAATAATAGCATTACCTATAACTTAACTCACCAATGTATAGAGATCATTATAAACCCTAATTTCCAGTTCTCATCTCTCAAATATCTAGTTAGAAGCATGGAAATTTTGGCTCGAGCCGAAGCTCGTGTATTAACGGAAAAGGCTCGAGCCAGCTCGGCTCATGAAGGGGTAAGGCTTGCTCTCAACGAGCCAAAAGCTCGAGCCCAAAGCTCGAGCTGGCTCGGCTCATGGATCACAATAAGAGGGAAAGAAGAGCGGAGGTAGAGTAATGCTAGCTTCCACCGATCAATTGAATCTACGAATAAATCAATGAGGGGAATATACACCTATCATACCCTTTGACCGTCTAAGCTTGAAGAAAGCACTCCTAAGTACTGACCTAAACCTTTCTTTTTCTACGTGACTCATCATGCACTTGGCGCCTTGGTCAATTGTGATATATGGTGCTGTAAATACCTCCAATTGATAAGTTATAAATACATTCTATGTGCCGTATTCCGAATTATATGCGCAAGTATTCCCTCATGATCAATTATCTAGAGCCAGCTTCTAACAATTATCAACTATTAGCTTAGGGTAGAGGGAGGGGTTATAGGAGAGGAGGGAGGTATTATGTTGGCTTGATACATCTAAACAGCCACAAAAAGTTCGAATTCGTCCAGCTCTTCTTCCCCTCATAACCAGATCTAGCTCTAGGTAGGTTATACACTCTCTGGTGAATTATTGCGAAAACGAGAGCTAAAAAAAAATAGTTTTGTTGGTCTATGCTCGATCGCAGCAAAAATCTTTCCAGGGCCAATAGGAGTAGTTATTAGGTCACGGAAAACCCACTTTCGCACTAATTCTACCGGAAACTGTAAACCAGCGAAGACACAAAATCTCCGAGTCCCGTGACTCTTAACCTTGGCCCTCCAACCAAGATACCAGAAAAAAAATGCCTACACGTGATCCGGAAATTTTGCGTCTTACCAGGGCTCCTTGTCTTTCACCAGCATCATAGAATATCACTCGATACACTTTGAGCGACGTTGGACAAGAACAGGACGCCCATGATTATCTTGTAAGATGACTGGGCCCGCCAGAGGCCTTAATGACATTCTGTGCGTAAACTATACTAGTGGATAAATATGCACATCATGAGGACCTACAACCTCCACGTGGTTATTAGGGCTCACCATCTGTCCTTTAGAGAACTGTTTAAATAGCCCTCATGTATGATCATGACGGATCCACAATCCTCATTAACACTCCAAAAAGCTACAAATAACTAAAATACTTCCTACTTAACCTAAACTCATGCATACCCATAACCAATCCACTCTAAACCTATATTACCAATATATACCCTTATGGCCTCCCTCCCCTCCCGCGGCTGGCAGCGCCACGAACTACTCCAACACTCCACCGGCGCCCGAACTATTATCTGGTACCGCCCCACCAACGACACCAAAGCATCCTCCGACGAACAGCTCCGCCACGCAAGATACACCGTCAAGCTCGCCATCGACTCACTGCGGATCTCGTTCTCAACGTTCACCACAAAAGACGATATCCGGCGTGCCGGGAGGGCGCTGGTGGACGCTGTGGAGCTGCTAAGGGAGCTGGCGGTGGTGAGTGAGGTGGCGGCGTATGTGGAGGTGGTGAGGGAGCAGGAGATGCTATGTAGGGTGCTCGAGAGGTATTGTGTGGGACCTAGGAGAGACTATCCCGTTGATGTGGTCGACCAGTTGCAGCAGTATGTTATTGCGCTGGGGAAGTTGTGAGCCTGAGGTATGCAGATGCGAAGATGCATGGAGTGGGTTGTAGATACTGGTGCTGGAGGAAGAGGTAGACTTGGAGGAGTCCCCGTTTCATGGGCATATATCGTTGTTTGGATTCGGACTGGCGCTTTACTGTGTGTAAAGTGGGTATTTTTTGTGGATTCAGTTGAAGACTTAAACTCAAATAGTTTTGTAGTCTGTTGATAAGTTCGACAGATTGTTATGACAATAGTAGCTTGGATGGGATGTAAGAAGATGGATACGTAGACGCTAGTTACATGCAATCCAACTAGTCTCACCAAGACGTAAGTAAGAGCCTTTAGTAGAAGGGATGAGAAGTAAGCGTAGGGCCTACTATAGGCCAGTCCTACGTACATGTATCCGACAACCGTCAACTTAGTTACAATGCAGAGAGCTCTGGTCGATATCACACATACCCCACTAGGAAGGCCCTCAGGTGCAATCCTAATCTACCACGAACCCACTGGCCACCCTCTTGTACATGTATATTAGCACCTATAACCCATGTGCACCAAGAAATAGACTGATCGGTCCGGGTTCATAATTGTAACTCTGTACAAACATGATACAGATCAACAGGTTCACGATCACGATGTCCAACCCCACAAAGCACGAACCATATATATAGCGCGTGCCGGCCCGGGAAACTACTAACTAGAACCCTTACTCATCTCACTACAGTGGCACTCGTGCAGAAAGAATAGGACTGGTGATGGCCTCGTCCATTCACATTTGACCAGCACGTGTTTTACGGGCAAGTGGATGTACCGCTATTAATCGAGCCCCATGCATCAACTCCTCCCTATTGACAGTTCAATGCAGACGACCTAGCTCAGCACTAACTCTCGCCAAATGGTCCGGTAGTAAGCAGGACTGGGCTTGATGCCCTGTGAGTTGCTTTATTCGACATCCCAGAACACATTCGCGATAGATACCGCTGGCTGGCGGGGTTACCTATCTTACCTCATATCGCGGGGCGAAGACATGCTCCTCACTGCTATCTTGTTCTCCCGGTACGTTGCATTACGTTTACTTCCAACTATCTTTCTGGTAGCCGCAATAGATGTGTGTATGCTTGGAAGGTTCTCAACCTCACCCCAGTGCCCCAGGCCCATACTTCGAATTCTCTTCGATTCGTAGAGTCTTACAGGACAGGGGTAACTACAGAACCCGTTAATGGCTACGCAATAACGTTCAACAGCCTAGAAGAACGTATAATCTATATTTATGCTGAGTCGGTGTAAGTGGGGTTGATGGCTGCCCATGGCAGTGGATACGGACAGAGAAAGAGGGCACTTTTGTATTGTCACTACCTGAATTCACGGTGGGAATGGGATTGATATAGGTTGGGGTCTATGAGATCTAGACAGGGATTTGACTAGGGACCGAGTGACTGACTGTGAGCCAAGTCTCGGCGGAAAGAGGATTCGGTTTTGCGGCTCATGCGCTGTTTGATTAATATGCTGGGTGAACCTAGAAGTGAGTGTGTGTGCAAATGAAATTCACATCCTATCGGGCTTGGACGTAAAACCCCTTCAAGACTCTCACATAAGGATCTGTAGATTCCAAATACAGAGGGCTTCCAGTGGGTTGATTAAAGGAGGTTATTTTTACTACACATGCATGATCAAATCAATGTTACTACCTTCAGAACTTCAGACTGCGCTGCAAGGCCTTCTTCCGGAGACAAGTAGTAAATCCTGCTAAACGCAAGAGTCAGTAACGTTTTTTTATTAATAGTGAAAAGACTTGGCTTTCAGCCCAAGGGGACGAGGCACATATATCATGCCTAGATTCTCGTGGAGTCTAGCCTACATGCAGCGCCATACATTTAGCTGAGACACTCACCTCTGTCGGATTTAGGCCTCCCACTATTTACACACCATATATCAAGGCATCGATGCCCGCAGATTAACCTGCCCATCTCAATACCACCCACATACCATTCCCCACCAGAATAATAAGCTGGTCCCAAGAAGAAGAGCTAGAAGCCCTAGAACAGTGGGGAGACGATATCCACACCATGCTGATGGAAGAGGGAGAGAGATTAGAACAGGATGAAGACGATCTCCACACTATGCTGATGGAAGAGGGAGAGAGATTGAGATTAGAGCAGGATAGAGACGATCTCCGCGCAACGCTGGTGGGGGAGAGAGAGAGATTGAGATTAGAACGGGATGACGACGATCTCCACACCATGCTGATGGAAGAGGGAGAGAGATTAGAACAGTGGGGAGACGATATCCACACCATGATGATAGAAAAGGGAGAGAGATTAGAACAGGATGAAGACGATCTTCACACCATCCTGATAGAAGCGCATGAGAAAGCAGAGCGCGAGGAACAGGACCTTGATGATATGTATTTACAATGAGGGCCCTGGGATGGCACGGGCAAAATCGTTTAATGCCCCGGTTAGGAAAAATGCTTGTGTAGGAGCATGTTTGTCTGGGGGTTATTTAGAGGTACGTGTGTTTGTGCCCTAGGTTTTGGGAGACGTTTGCTGGTGGGCTAATAATGATGAAGTGCCAAGCGAAGCGAACCTAAGGTGCAGTAGTAGGGACAGTGAAGGGTGGTGTACGTCTGGGCACAGGGGGTAATATTAAAAGGACCGGTGATGATAAAGAAACGAGGAAGGTCCCAATGGTGGCAGGGAAGACGAAGGATGGTGATAGCAACATTGGTAGGAATCGTTAAAGTTGGATACTGCTAGAGCTTGGAGAAACGGGTCAGCCTTCTTTTTAGAGAGTTGTGTGGTTTAAATTTCGTTTCACCCCTCCCATGTTGCTATGGCTGGAGATTACCTAAGCTGGAATGATCATTTATGCATGTTTTACAAACGTGGCCCAAAGCAGCGTGCGGTTGTGAAGCATTCATGCATGTCCCCAACCACAGAATTCCAGAGTACAGCCACTTCATGCATGACTGTTTACCTTTCCTTACTTCATGCATATTTGTAGGCCAGAATAGGGTCAGCGTGCCTGTTCGATATCAGCAGTCTTTCAAATAACTGCCTCGATCATGCTCATATAACCCGAGACTCGCCATCATATCGCGTAATCCTTTAAAACTTATGGGTTCCCCGGCCACTTGCCAACCTACCATGCATCATAGGCTATCACTCACTAACCAACCTCTAGTACGCAGGTTCAGGATTGCGGTTATCCCCAGCCATGAACTGGTATAAGTTGACATCATTCTGGAACACAGATGGAGGGCGGGGTTAAGTTATTGAGCGATCAGTATAAGAAAGCTTGCCAGCTGCTAACTGTCTTCTTCTCACTCACAAAGTGTATATACCGGATGCACTTACCGCTTTACTGAATCGGCGAACTCAATATAACTTTATTCATTTTTCAGATTTACCTCAAGATGCGCATCCCAACACTTCTCTCTATTTCCCTTTTCTCTGCTCTCTTCACATCCCCCACCTCAGCTACACCGCTCTCGCATAGGCATCGCCTCCCTAGACCATCAGCCGCGACTAAGCCCATCCTTCCACGCGAAACTGAAGTTGCAAGTGTCGGCAGCCGAGATCTACTAGACGACCTCGACGACCCCGATTTTCTTGATTTCCCAGATTTCCCTCCAGGTTTCCCCTTTGACTCTCCTGGCTTTCCATTCGACGATGGGCCAGCACCTATTCCTGCGCCTGACCCAGCTCCTCCTCCACCGGAGCCGGCTACAGGGCCAGCACCAGGAGCGAACAATGCCCCTGCCGGAGATTGTGCATCTCCAGTGACGATAACACAAGCGGAGGTCCAGACTACAATTGAAACAGCCACAGTTACAATCACGGCTGGCGAAGCCTTTCTCGACGGTCTGTTCGAGGGGAAGCAAGAATATATAACCCTCGTTGTCACTACTACTGAGACCGAGTTTGCACCCGGGCAGACGGTGACCATCACTGCTGCCGAGGTGCAAGGGGAGAATAGAGATGAGCCAACAGTAACCATAACGGTTACAGAAAAGCCTGAGCCTGCAACTGTCACTGTTACAGAGGTGCAAACTGTCACTGCCGTAGCAGATTCAGTAGATGCAGGGACGGGCAATAACCCAGGTACAGGGGACAATAAGGATATACCCCCTCCACCCGAACCACCAGCTCCTCCTGCACCACCCCCACCACCTTCACCACCAGCTCCCCCTGTTATCGAAGAACCAGCTCCTCCTATTACCGAAGAACCACCCCCTCCTCCCGCAGAGGGGGGTCAGGGTGGAGGCGAAGGAGGTTCAGATCATCCTGATTTTGTCGATCTTGGGGTTCTAGAACTTGACGAAGACGGGCCTCAGCCTACTATACATATGGTTGCAGCTGCGCCAAGTCATTCGGACTTTCATAATGCCGGAGCGGTGCCTACACCTACTCCTCGTTCGGTGGATGCAGCATCATCCTCAATTGCGAGCTCCCCAGCAGTATCTAAAACTCCTTCGACATCGGCTGACGTTGTGTCATCCGAACCAAATACGGCGTCAGGCGAGATCGCTACTGTTACTTTAACTAGTACAACCACGGTGGTCGTGACAAGTACTAGAACTTTTACCCACGTTCGTCCGACGGCCTTTAGACTGCCGACGATTGAGTTCGATGATGAGTAGGACAATGAAAGAGGCCGGTTGTGCCTGCTTGACTTTACTATATCTTGGTGTTTGATTGGGAGTTTGGGGAGTTTTGTTTTTAAATGTAATTCTGTATGGACTATGGGTGATGATAAGGTTAACGTTAACGATTGTGGATATAACTAGGATACTAAGTTTAATTAATAGCTAGATAGAGACGTAATTTAAAGCCCTAATATGTATATTGGGAAGTCGTGTGTTTCCTTGATGAATACCTGGAATTCCGTAAAACTACCCTAAGGTGTTTTAACAGAATAGAATCTTATATTTGAAGGTATCATCTACTTACTTAACGTACAACGCATCTCCCCATTCGTGACAAATTTTCACAATGGTGTGACCTACTTTCGAGGGGTGGCTAATATAATGCCTTATAAAATAAGATCAATTAATGTAGGTGGGATCTACTCACTGTAACTTTGGGGGAGAATATATATGTACGTGTGATTCGTGGATCCAGGCCGGTGAGATCCATCAAAGAAGTCTACTTGTAGACATGTATCTTCGGGGTACCACGTTTGCACGGGGAAACACATACATTTAGTTTCAAAAATGCTAGAGACCACATAATAAGCCTACTACATCTGTTCAGATTACGTACCCCTCAGCGTGACAGCGTGACATATACGTAGGATCAAGATTATATTAGATTACTTATTACTTGGTGCCAAGCCAAGTATTAACGCTAATATGTGCCTGTACTCCTGTGTCGTCAGTCATTCAAGTAGCAGGTGAATGGCGCCATCTTGTTCTTCAAGTGAAGCCTCCACTGCACGGGTCCTTTAGAGTCTATTTAAAGAACCACTCAGTCTTCTGGGTCGGGTGGACCGATTATTGTTGAGTAGTACATGTATCCTTCAAAGATTCCCTGAACAAGACCTAACAAGCCATGCATGTAGTATGATGTTATGATGTAGGAAGAAACTGTAGTATGTAGCAGTTAGTAGTATATAGCACATGTATTACTGTTACTACATGTACTACAAGATCTTGGGTTACACAAGGCGTAATGCCTTGATAACGCTTTTGATGACGCTAAACTGTCTTCGTATGCGGCTCTGAAACCCCTGCAGGTGCTCTCTCCTACTTAGCTACATAATTCACAGAAGACACGAAGACAACACTCGGCAGCTAACGATATTCATGGAGACCTTCACGACACGAAATCATTAGAGCACAGTACCTCCGCAGCCAAAAACCAGTACCCCAAATACTGCCATACCGATTTCAATCCTTCCCACTCGGGAGAGCAATCCCCCCCTTATCGTGGATAGTGCAATGTTTAACCTCCGTAACGTTCTTTTGGCCTCGGCCGCTCTGAGAGCTGGAATGTTCTTCTATGGGCTCTACCAAGACGCACATTCTGCTCTCAAATATACAGATATTGACTACTATGTCTTTACCGACGCTTCGAGATATGTGGCAATAGGCCAATCCCCGTATGACAGAGAAACATATCGATACACCCCATTACTAGCATGGTTGCTACTACCAACAGCTTTTCAACCACAATGGTTTTGGTTTTCGTTCGGGAAGGTATTATTTGCGGTGGGAGATCTAATAGCGGGTTGGTTGATTTACAGTGTTTTACGGACTAGCTATGGAGGAATGGATAAAGGGCGCGCATTGAAATTTGCAAGTATCTGGTTGCTCAACCCTATGGTTGCCACTATATCGACAAGAGGCAGCTCGGAAGGATTATTAGGAGTTATGGTTGTGGGGCTAGTGTGGGCTGCGATGAAGAGAAAGGCTATCACTACGGGAGTGTTGCTCGGGCTGGCAGTGCACTTTAAAATTTATCCGGTGGTTTACGGGCCTGCGATTCTTTGGTGGATGGAAGACCGGAAAATGGGTCAGACAATTACCCAAAAAATGTTCGGGTTCTTTACTGTCTCGAGAATAAAGTTCGGTCTGAGTGCATTGGTCACCTTCGTAGGATTGAACCTTGCAATGTGGAAGATGTCAGTTTCATAACTCTTACTCTCCCATAAGATACTACTAACTCAGTAATAGATATCGTGATCCATTCATAATACACACATATTTGCATCATGTTGAGCGTCTCGACCACCGCCACAACTTCTCACCTTATAACATCCTCCTCTACCTCACCTCTCCACCAAGCATGGGTGATCCCTCATTCCCGTATGCCAGTGTTGCGTTCCTTCCACAGCTTTTCCTCTCTGGGGTACTGCTTCCACTCGCATTCGCCAAATGGGATCTTCCCACCACTCTTTTTGCACAGACCTTTGCATTTGTCGCATTCAACAAAGTCTGCACCTCACAAGTATGTTCCTATAGGTTCATTAACCCCACTCACTGCTTTGCTAACATCATGTCAGTATTTCATGTGGTACATCGTCCTTCTCCCCTTCTACCTCCCCACCTCCTCGCTGCTCCGGAGTCCCAAAGTAGGGTTCACCGCACTAGGCGCATGGGTTCTCACTCAAGCCGCATGGCTCCAACAAGGCTACGAGCTTGAATTTTTGGGTAATAGTACATTCTTCCCGGGTTTGTGGGGAAGTGCATTGACGTTTTTTGTGGTAAATTGTTGGTTGCTGGGGGTTATCGTGGGAGATATAAAGGATCGAAGAGTTATAAGTGGAAAGAAGTTGAATTAGAGTACATGTAGTCTTTTTTTTTAGTTTTTTTTGTTCTTTTTTGAGAATACCCAGAGCGGACATTTAGAGGAAGAGGAAGTAGGCCTACAAGATTTATTATAGTATTGTAATCTAGCTAGATGGATTGTTCGGACAACCATAGATTATTTCTTCGCGTTGTTGGGCAGACTGGATTATCCGGTAGCAAAAATAATAATCCCAATACTCATAATCAGTGAATAATCTACAACGTTGCAACCGGCATATCAGATCAAAGATTTACATGTTAGATATTTTGTTGGTGGAGTATTGGGATAACTAATCGGGAGTTCAGAATTATTCAATTGCACGAACAGCATAGTTTATTATAATAATCCAAAAGTCAGATTATTGGGTTATCCCAACGGGGCGCCCTAAGTTTGTTCCTGCCGAAAATCATAGTATTGGCTTTTTTTTGAGAATACACTTCACGAAACGAGAAGCCCAATAGATTTGTCATGTACCGTCTAGAGCTATTCGACAGGTCTTCTTGAAGCCATATGCGCTGCTTTCTCAAGAGATCTAAGGCGTCAGATGATGTGAAAATCGAGTGATGTACTGTGTCTAGACTAACGCGCCCCCCGCCACACTTGAATAGACACTTCTCGTTATGACATGCACATATACCGTACACGGAAACACATAGATACCTGCAGGTTTCGCGATTGCATATATTCGGGTGGGGAAGGCAAATCTCATTTAGATCGGGTAGCTAGTGTCATGCGGGGTTTTCTCCAGACCTATACATAGCTGTTGTTCTGTAGTCTAGAAACAACCCCAACCTTCCTCACTCGTTGCTGGCGTGATTAGTAGCCTACACGTATGTCCATTACGAGTGGAGAGTACTTAGAGATACGGATGGAAGCAAGTTCAGTAGTACATGTAGTAGTAGTAGTGGTAGTAGTACGATACTTCACTGCTCAATATTAGTAGTTAATATTATTTCTTTCTTTAAAGGTGTCTGAGTATTGCCCAAACGCAAATAATCATAGGAATGACTGCATCTACTGTTCCCATTGTGGTGTCGTACCTGGACGATCCGAGGATGGCTAACCTAAACCGGAAGACCCTGTTTAGTTGAAATTCTAGTTCTATGAAATTCGAAAGGTGTTCGTTCGATAATAACCTCTTCCTCTTTCTGCTACCTAAAATCGCCGCCGAGCAAAACAAGCGAGACTCTATAATCCAAAGTGAAGTTTAGATTCATCCACACAGCTGTAGAGCACCACGTCCAGAGTCTCTATATTTAGCTACTCCTACCTTAAGAGGCATGACTCCCTCATCATCCAGCACCTCCGGCTTCATTGAGATTCCTCATGTGGCAAGAATAGAGTCTAGCTAATTCTCATGATCCAAGAAAGGAACCATCGAAGGAAACAACTCAAAGCAACACAAAAGAACTGAATCCAATAGATCGTCTCAATTCGTTGTAAGAGACAGGTCTCATCACCGAACATAGAGCAAGCCTACGGCGTAGTCCAAGAACCATGACAGATGTATAGTGTTTATTCGAATCTCACTTGCAATCACAAATAGATGTCTCCTCAAAAGGGTTCGGAAGGTATGTTGCGAGTACTTGATCTTCAGTGGCATATGAGATTTCCATATATTAGATGGTTAGATAATGAAGCTGACTTATCCATGCCATCTGCATCTCGCCCTAGTCTGTTTGCTGTTCAGTGTACCAGCCCACAATCTTTCTCCGCTCGCGAACGGAAGCCCAAATTTAAAAGTCTCTCAAAAGTCTAGCTGCTACTCTTTTGTTACAACTAATCGCCCCAAGTAGAACCAGAAACAATTCTTCACAAAAGGCGGTGGCATAGCTGTACTTAGATCAGTAAGAACACACAGACAGCACCACGCATGTTGATGATCTCCTAGTCCCATCATAGATGGGCTTGTCAAATGGCGTCCGTGGCATCATTTCCAACGGGTGCAACTTCACACCATGATAACCGGGCAATAATTACGCAATCTGATGAGCGTGTAACGCCAGACCATATGCGCATGGTATATTTGTCTATATAAGACAAATGATATCGCACCTGAAGACAGTCATATCGTCGACTTCTAAATTTCAGAAGACCGATATCACGATTATAAGATGAAGGTATCAAGTACCCCGCTCGCTGCGGTCTTTCTTTCCGTTACCCTCTTCACCACAGCATTATCGAAACCTATTGCCATACCTGAATCAAAGAACCTTTTCCGCCCCAATGTTGGATTGAATGCTAGGGCTGAGAACCCAGTTGCCGATCTATTCGGTGGCTTTGGTTTAGACGGCGGACTTGAGGAAGGCTGCGGTGAGGCTGGGGGATCAGTCGGGGGATCAGCCGGAGGAGAGATTAGAGGAGGGGAAGGTAGAGGAGGAAGAGGGAGAAGAGGGGGCAGAGGGAGTGGAACTCGAGGCACTGATGGGACCAGTACTACCGGCTCTGACACTGGCACAAGTGCCACTCGCCGTGGTTCCCGCACAGGCACAAGTGCCACTGGCACAGGTCGTGCTTCTCGTGCCACTGGCCGCGGTTCTCGGACGGGGGCTGGCACAAGTACCACTAGTACTGGGGCCGCTACTCTCCCTACCTCAGTGACCGGTGGCGCTGGCACTGGCACTGGCACTGGCACCACCAGAGGCACCACCAGAGGCACCACCAGAGGCACCACCACAGGCACCGGCACCACAGGCACCGACACCACAGGCACCGGCACCACAGGCACCGGCACTGGCACTGGCACTGGCACAGGCGCAGGCACAGGCGCTGGCTCTGGCACAGGCACCGACACCGCAGGCACCACCACAGGCACCACCACAGGCACCGGTACCACAGGCACCGACACCACAGGCACCACCACAGGCACCGAAACCACTGGCACTGGCACTGGCACAGGTACAGGCGCTGGCACTGGTACTGGCACTGGCACCGACACCACAGGCACCACCACAGGCACCGACACCACTGGCACTGGCACTGGCACAGGTACAGGCGCTGGCACTGGTACTGGCACAGGCACCGACACCACAGGCATCACCACAGGCACCGACACCACAGGCACTGGCACTGGCACAGGTACAGGCGCTGGCACTGGTACTGGCACTGGCACCGACACCACAGGCACCACCACAGGCACCGACACCACTGGCACTGGCACTGGCACAGGTACAGGCGCTGGCACTGGTACTGGCACTGGCACCGACACCACAGGCACCACCACAGGCACCGACACCACTGGCACTGGCACTGGCACAGGTACAGGCGCTGGCACTGGTACTGGCACTGGCACCGACACCACAGGCACCACCACAGGCACCGACACTACTGGCACTGGCACTGGCACTGGCACAGGCGCTGGCACTGGCACTGGCACAGGCACCGATACCACCGGCACCACCACAGGGACCGACACCACAGGCACCGAAACCACTGGCACTGGCACTGGCACAGGTACAGGCGCTGGCGCTGGTACTGGCACAGGCACCGACGCCACAGGCACCACCACAGGCACCACCACAGGCACCGACACCACAGGCACCGAAACCACTGGCACTGGCACTGGCACAGGTACAGGCGCTGGCGCTGGTACTGGCACAGGCACCGACACCACAGGCATCACCACAGGCACCGACACCACAGGCACTGGCACTGGCACAGGTACTGGCACAGGTACTGGCACAGGTACTGGCACAGGCACCGACACCACAGGCACCACCACAGGCACCGACACCACAGGCACCGAAACCACTGGCACTGGCACTGGCACAGGTACAGGCGCTGGCGCTGGTACTGGCACAGGCACCGACGCCACAGGCACCACCACAGGCACCACTACAGGCACCGACACCACAGGCACCGAAACCACTGGCACTGGCACTGGCACAGGTACAGGCGCTGGCACTGGTACTGGCACAGGCACCGACACCACAGGCATCACCACAGGCACCGACACCACAGGCACCGAAACCACTGGCACTGGCACTGGCACAGGTACAGGCGCTGGCGCTGGTACTGGCACAGGCACCGACACCACAGGCATCACCACAGGCACCGACACCACAGGCACTGGCACTGTCACAGGTACAGGCGCTGGCACTGGTACTGGCACTGGCACCGACGCCACAGGCACCACCACAGGCACCACTACAGGCACCGACACCACAGGCACCGAAACCACTGGCACTGGCACTGGCACAGGTACAGGCGCTGGCACTGGTACTGGCACAGGCACCGACACCACAGGCATCACCACAGGCACCGACACCACAGGCACTGGCACTGGCACAGGTACAGGCGCTGGCACTGGTACTGGCACTGGCACCGACACCACAGGCGTCACCACAGGCACCGACACCACAGGCACCGAAACCACTGGCACTGGCACTGGTACAGGTACAGGCGCTGGCACAGGTACTGGCACAGGCACCGACACCACAGGCATCACCACAGGCACCGACACCACAGGCACTGGCACTGGCACAGGTACAGGCACTGGCACTGGCACTGGCACTGGCACAGGTACCGACACCACAGGCACCACTACAGGCACCACTACAGGCACCGACACCACAGGCACCGAAACCACTGGCACTGGCACTGGCACAGGTACAGGCGCTGGCACTGGTACTGGCACAGGCACCGACACCACAGGCATCACCACAGGCACCACTACAGGCACCGATACTACAGGCACCGGTACTGGTACAGGTACAGGCGCTGGCACTGGTACTGGCACTGGCACCGACACCACAGGCATCACCACAGGCACCACTACAGGCACCGATACCACTGGCACTGGCACTGGCACAGGTACAGGCGCTGGCACTGGTACTGGCACTGGCACCGACACCACAGGCATCACCACAGGCACCACTACAGGCACCGATACCACTGGCACTGGCACTGGCACAGGTACAGGCGCTGGCGCTGGTACTGGCACAGGCACCGACACCACAGGCATCACCACAGGCACCGACACCACAGGCACTGGCACTGGCACAGGTACAGGCACTGGCACTGGCACTGGCACTGGCACAGGTACCGACACCACAGGCACCACTACAGGCACCACTACAGGCACCGACACCACAGGCACCGAAACCACTGGCACTGGCACTGGCACAGGTACAGGCGCTGGCACTGGTACTGGCACAGGCACCGACACCACAGGCATCACCACAGGCACCGACACCACAGGCACTGGCACTGGCACAGGTACAGGCGCTGGCACTGGTACTGGCACTGGCACCGACACCACAGGCATCACCACAGGCACCGACACCACAGGCACCGGCACTGGCACAGGTACTGGCACAGGCACCGACACCACAGGCACCACCACAGGCACCGACACCACAGGCACCGAAACCACTGGCACTGGCACTGGCACAGGTACAGGCGCTGGCACGGGCACGGGCACAGGCACAGGCACCGGGACTGGAACTGGCACAGACACCACTTGTACCACCACTGGCACTGATACCACCGGTACAACCACTGAGGAAGATGAGGAGTTCGAGGATACCGAGGAACTGTCTGAGCTTGAGCGTGAAGAGCGCAGGGCGCGCGAGCGTGAGGAGCGTCTTCGTGCGGAGGAGCGTAGTGAGCTTGAGCGTATAGCAATTCTTGAAGCGGAGGAGAACACGGAACGTGAGTGTCTGGATACTATTGACGCTGAGGAAGTTGTCTAGGTTCCTGGGCAGGTAAATTCTCATTTCTAGAGGAAACTAGCGGGTTGTGTATTTACATTCTTTGATTTATGTATATAGAATTGCGAAAGAGAAGGCGGGGAGTGTTTATAGACATTGACGGAAAAAAGACGGGTGTACATATAGATGGACGGAATAGAAGATTGTACTAGTCAAAAAAATACTTGCCGAACTAACCATTAGTAGTGATAGCGGCACTGTCTCGCAGACATTGTAGAAGAAGAAGAATGATTGGCCTTCAGGCCAGTGCTTCATCGATGATCACTCGGCCGCAATCGCTGGTTTGGCATTCCCTTCTCTGGCTGTCTTAGGTTGGTCTGCACCGGCCTTCCACTGCTCTTTCCCCCCCTCGCCCTCGGATTACTGGTGAATTGCAGGGGCTTGTTTGATCTGTGTTCTGCTGCCCATTTACAGAGTGTATAAATACCCTCGCAAAGACAGAGGGGGGGTCAACAGCATCCATAGGTGTTGTGGTGGGAAGTTCCGCTAAGGGATGGGTTCATCCGCGGTTGCTGGATTGAGGCCATTCCCGCTCGTGTATACATCTCCATCTGCTGGCGGGCGGCATTTATCCTGCTGGCGGGCGGGCGGGCGCGTGGGTGGGTAGGTAGGTGGTTCGGGGTGGGCAATTGTCGAATTGATAGTGTCCAGGTCATTCGGACTACTATGTAGTATATGAGGGGCTCGTCTTGCAATTGGTGCTTTGGAGCTCTCGTTTCGGCGGGTCGTATGTGTTTGGGCTGCTGGTCTAGTTATGATGGTGGTGTCGTGTGTTGTGGAGATCCTTGACGCGGTGGTGTTCTTAGATAAGTAGGTGTAGATGTAGAAGGCAGGCAGCATCGCGGCATTGGCAGCTTTCTCTCTCGGACTGCGGTCATGTTCGCCTGCCCTGTGATGTTGCGGTTGCGATAGGGCTGAGGATCCGGGTGCTTGAACATGCGCAAAATACACCGGATGCGCAAGATGCAGGTTGCAGTGCCAAGATATACTATGCATGCTTTGTCAACTATTACTCAGGAATACAGCTAGCGCCTCTGACGTCAATCCTTGTCAGCCCGCATTGAAATCTCCGGTGATGAAATCAACGCCGAGACTGCGTACTAGTGGGTGGCCGGTCGCGGCTAGCGTGTGGGTGAGTTCTTCTTCTCCGCGTTGATTCTATCACGAGTCTGGTTCTTGCGGCGTGGTGTTAGCTAGCCTACTCGAGTTGGGTCTCCTAGAACAGCCTGGCCTTGAGGGGTGGAATTGAGGGAATTGAAATTGGGTCGAGGCTCCTGCACTGGGTACCTCGGAATAAAATTGTCTTTTCAAGGTGGAGGCGCTGTGAGCTGGTTTACTCTTCCGAGTCTCAAGCTCTGAAGTTACCAAAGCGTTGTCCGGAGTTTAGCACTAGGGAATCCCGAGACCTCCGGATCCGGGCATAAACACTAGAACGCTGCACCCCCCCCCCCCCCCCCCCCCAGAAAATAATGTTTCTGTGAGCATCGAGTTAACAGGCATATATCTATCTATACTAAACTAGCTCTACGAGTATGTAGTAGGTACATCTTCTAAGTTCATTAATTCTCGTTCCCCGAGCTTTGTGACAAAGGGATTTCTCAATTAAGTGTGACATCCACTTTCCCATCTAGCTAGCGGCCGATTGAGTTTACTCTGCGTGACGGGGACAGCTACTCCAGGGTCCAAGGCCAATGATCCCCCTTCCCAGTTTCCAGGCAAAGGCTCAGCCAGCCGGGTGATACTCCATGACGCCCAACCCAACTCCTAACTCTCACCCCCTCACCACCCTCCGAGACAGAAAAACTCAGCCAAACAAACCTCTTTCAATCTCCTGCATATCTAGAGCTTCAAGACACCGCTCGGGTTTGTTTTACTTGCAATTTGATCCCTAGCATACGCAATCCCTTGCCGCCAAGGCACCCAGCCACACAGCACCGCCTCGCTGGTGACGAAACACTCGACTCCACCCCGGCCCACACTTTGTCCACGCCCACTCCCGCTTTCCCGTCCAACGTCCTGAAAACGGCGTGGTGCTGGGGCTAACAACAAGAGTTCGTTCACCACTGCTCTGCTTCTCTCCTGAACCTTTCTTCCCTTCCTTCCCTTCCACCACCAACAACAACATCACCAAAAGAACACTGGTTGATCACCAGCAGCAGCAGCAGTAGTAGTAGTAGCTATGAGTTGGGCAGGTACCAAGACCTTTCCTTTCCCAAGCAAAGGAGGGAGTAGGAGGACTCGCAGAGTAAGCAGAGAGGGCTAACACAGCACCACCATCACAGGGTTCAAGAAAACCGTGAACCGGACTACGGTCCAGGTCATGATGAAAGCCGGTCAGTACCTCCAGTACCGATAAACTACACCATACCCATACCCATACCTAACCTCACCCACTAACACCTCTCCCTACAGGCCAAATCGAAAAAACCAATGACCGCGACTACGAAGTCGAAGAGCGCCGCTTCCGCACCATGGAAGCCGCCGCCACAAAACTCCAACGCGAAGCAAAAGGCTACCTCGATGCCCTACGAGGTACTTTACCCCCCTGCCCCTCCCTTCCCCACATGCCACTAACACCCCCCTCCAGCCATGACGGCCTCACAAATGCGCATCGCCGAGACCATCGACGCCTTCTACGGCGACGCCGGCACCCGCGACGGCGTCTCCCGCTCCTACAAGCAAGCCGTTGAGGAGCTCGACGCCGAGACCATCAAAGCGCTCGACGGGCCCTACCGCACAACGGTCCTCGAGCCCATCTCGCGCTTCTGCGCCTACTTTCCCGACATCAACGAGTGCATCAAGAAGCGCAACCACAAGCTACTCGACTACGACCAGATGCGCGCAAAGGTCAAGAAGCTGGTCGAGAAGCCGGATAAGGACCCGGGAAAGCTGCCGCGCACGGAGAAGGAGGCCCAGATGGCGAAGGAGGTGTATGAGGGGCTCAATGATCAGTTGACGGGCGAGCTGCCGCAGCTGATTGATCTGAGAGTACCGTATTTGGATCCGAGCTTTGAGGCACTGGTGAAGATTCAGTTGAGATGTGAGTACTGCTTATTTCTTTGTGGGGCCGTGGGGGTGGGGTAGGGTTGTGCTGACGGTGGGGTAGTTTGTGCCGAGGCGTACTCGAGAATGGCGCAAGTGCAGCAGTTCCTGGATCCGAGCACGAGGGAGCAGTATGCGCAGGGCCATCTCGACCAGAGGGTCGAGCAGGTGCTGCAGGAAATTAGAGACTTGAGTATTGCAGGTGCTTCTTAGACTTTTTAGAGAGCAAAGAACTTTTTTCCTTTTTTCTTTTCTTTTTTTCTATGCGCTTTACCAATAACTACTGATTTATTCTTGTTCTCTTTTTTTTTTCTTTCACTTGTTCTTTTCCTGGCTTTAGCGGCGGGGTTGTGTGTAGGGTGAATTGGAGGGAGGAGTGAAAAATGATAGTGTAGTGTAGTGTAGTATTGTGATGGACTGGTCTGGGTGGGCTGGTTGGGTAGGCTGGTTTGGTTTGGTATGGTCGGGTCAGGGTAGAATTCAATACCTTCTTTCGATTTCGTAGACAATTGTTGGCAGGTATCGTCATGAGATCTTACTGTGGGATCCATCATGAAATGTCACTACAAGTTCCAATAAATTACTACAATAATCATTGATAGTCTTTATTAGCCGAAGTTATGAGTTTTTACCAGAGGTATCATCATGAAATCTCACACGTCCAACAAATTGCCGTAGCAATCATTGACAGCCATCACCCGCCATCATGAATTCTCACTCCAGGCAGAAATTAATTACCAAGCTATATCCATCATTGACCCCTCACCCCGGCACTCAATGGTTGAACTAACAACGAACAACGAACGGCGCCCTTACTTAGCCACCATCATGAATTCTCACTACAACGGTAACATAGAGGGGCACAAATCTCACTAGACTGTACCGGGGGTTGTGGGTTAGTCTGAAGAACCCTTTTTTGGCGTATGATTGGTTGAAGCTGCAGAAAATGATACTTGGCGCCAGAAAAAGTACTTGAATAGGCTACCCCCCATCTTTTGCAACGCAACCTCCGAGACCGCAATTTGACTGTTGTTTGCACCCAGTTTCATCAAAAAACACTCCCAACAAGGGCTTATGAGCTCACAATATTACCTAGAGGAAGCTGGGAGCCAGCGCTATTCTGCAGTTATTTTTTTGTATTTTTAGCAAAATATTTAGATTTTTGAGTGAAGATATATGAAAGCTCTTCAGACTTTTTTCCCCATACAAATTTGGTGCGCTAAGGCCGGTGTGATTGATGATAATTGGTTGTCATTCGTGGCTCCCATATAAAATCCCTGCATTTTCAACCAATGAAGCAGAGTTCTTCACATTAATGGTGAACACCCGGTACAATGTAACATTATGAGTTTATGTCAGCACATCATATCACGGAGATTTCCTTTACCAGGAAGATTTCAACAAGCTAACGGCGAGGAGGACGAACCTCAACTAATATGATGCAAGATCTTTCTATTAAATAACTAAAGGGGGGCATTTGAACTCGAGCGATTACTGCTCGTGGATTGCCATACCTCATGCGCATGTTCCACATGCGTGGCTGTACGTTTAACGGGTCTGATCACTAGACTATGCCGACATATATGCACAGATTTACACACACATCTGGAATCGGAACGTGTAGGCATTCAATTATACGCCGGCACTGATTTCAGCGGGAGAAAAAATGAGAGCGGAGAATCTTTTTAAAGAAATAGTGAGGACGGATTGGTTGCTGGTTATGGTGATAATTTGTGTGTTGTTTTTCTGTCCCCCCCGGATTTCAAGCCATAGTTGTTCTTCACGCTTATGTTTCCGCATACATCCCATAGTACCAGTGACATATATGTAGGCAGCGCGAGAAGTGCTTCTTGGCACGAGTGATATCCCATGATGGCATAAAGCCACGCAGCTACTGTAAGAAGTATACTACGCGGGAAATAAGAACTGCCGACTGTAACGCTTATAACGAGAATCTCCATCTTGCCATAGGTGGCTTTCGGCTCCCTCCTCTCCCCCACCACCCTCACACAGACGCCTGTCTATACTCTGCCTCTCTTATTGGGGAGGCCGAGGCGGCGAGGCCGAATAAACTACTTTACCTATAAAACTTCTCATCCCACAACTATTGATCTCTCAACGCGTTTCCCGCGGGAGGTTGGAGAGATAAACCAGAAAGTAATTGCTGACCTGTTCAGAGCAGCTTGCGAGAATGGCCCCCGTAATAGTACGAAACGCATAGTTGCCTCCAACGATGTACTACATAGATACTCTGAAATTTTAGCTAAGGCTCGTTCAGGATCGGAGGAATGGCTTCATTGCGAGATCACTAACATAGACTTTTAAGCCAATTTCTTCCTTTTTGTTTCTTCGATTTTGGCGTGTCGGGGTTTTAACTGAAAATTCATCAAAAACGGGCACGTCAAGAACAAGGATCTCCAAAAAAGGAAGTACATGTTAAGGAAATGATCTTTGCAGCAGAGGTTTATATTTAGCCCTCCACAATCATGAAATCCCACTCCAAGTCAGACCAGGTATATCACACTTGCCATGCATGCCAAAGTCATCATTGACCTTCCCTCGCCCCACTCACAGCCAACCAGCCAACCAGCTAACCCCTGTAGTATATATACACCCATCCCATGCCCATCTAACCAACCCCACAAATCTAAAAAGTAGAACAAGAAAACAGAGAGGAGAATTTTGTTTCTATCGCGCCCCCTTTTTGGGGACCCCCCATCGCCTGCAGCTGGCCTCCTCGGAGGTCCGGGTGGCCGGCCGGCCGGATGGATGGATCAAAAGAAAACGCCAGAAAAGGA